AAACAAAACCGTTGAGTTGGGAGGAACAATAGGCAAATCAATGGGAGGAAAAATGGAGAAATGTCATTTCAAACACAAAAATACTAAATTACATTTGTATGATAAGAAAGAAGCACTTCCTGTTACACTGTTGTATTGCACCAGCAACACACTTGCACTTATATAATAATAATATTTAATAATAACAATAATAACTCTGGCATTTGATACAGCTGCTTATCACGTCTTCGAGACGTCTCAAAGTGCTTCACGGGAGACACTGTAAAGTGAATTGTGGGTGAAACAGTGTGGAGACTGCATTTGTGGGCGAATGCGGAAGGCAATTTGCACTCAGTAACATCCCACCAACAGCCATGAGGTGACTGTCCATTGGGATAAATTCTCTTTTCTTGTCAAATGATGACACAGGGTCTTTAACCGTCCACCTGAACAGGTGGGTTGGTGCATTCAACTGTGCGGCAGGTGAGTCGATGTAAAGCAAACTGTAGATCTTGCGAAAAATTGGCTACTGCGTTTCGCCCACAAAATATACGGTCACTACACTTCACGGCGTATCCTGCGAAGCCCTTTGAAACGTCTCAAAGACCTGATGAGGCGTTATATCAAATGCAAAGATTATTATTATTATTGCTATTATTAAAATATTGCTGAATGGTGCCCTGTGTTTATCAACTCGAGTCTGCAGTGTGGCAGTCATTGAATATATGGGAATGTTTCTCATTATTGTCCTCTCTCGGGAAACTGAACACGGTGAAATCATGTATGTGCATTCTCATACTTCTCCACTCCAGGGAACATTAAAAAGAGCCAATTTATAACAAACACTGTTAACGTGGCAGAGAAGTAAAAATAAGTTGAACGCATGCATGGTTGATGATTGGTTTAAATTACTATAATTTAGCTGTGAAGCACAGTGGGGAAGCTCTCTATCCTTCTGAATTTTGTATAATTCTGTTTTTTTTTTTTGCTGTGCTTCATGCTGCTCAGGTGAGGACTGATGGCTCTGGGGAATGTTCCGGAACGTATTTGATGTTGGAATTGGGTGGGGAAACATAATAATAATCCCGGCGTTTGATCCAGCGCCTCATCACGTCTTCGAGACGTCTCACGGGATAGGCTGTAAAGCGAATTGACCGTGTTGTTTGTGGGCGAAACGCGGCAGCCGATTGCGCACAGCAGCGTCCCCACAAACAGCCGCGGATTGAGTGACCAAATTATTATTATTATTTATTTTTTTGAAGAGATTATCATCCCCGGAAAAGCGATCCACCAATCAACTCGCAACCGGGTTCCTACTTACTGTGAGGTAAAAGGTAGGCGTCGGGAGCAAGGAAACTGCCGGGAATCAAACCCGGGTCCTCTCGCTTGCGAGGCGAGCGCTCTAACCACTGAGCTACAGGACTCCACAACTTGCCTGATACACGGTCCAGCCCTGCAGCGCGAGTTCCTTCTCCCGCCTCCACCATCCTTGTAGTCTTCTTCTGAAGGAAACTGTTCACCTCTCGCGTCAAAGTGTGTGGTCCAATGAGCAGCCGTTAATAAAGCTAAAGGAAAAGGAAAGGCGAGGCTGGTTTTTGCAGAAAATCCATCTGCAAAAGAGATTGTGTATCCAGTCTCTCTGGATTTGATTTAATCAGTCAGGTTCTAATTTTGTCTGTGCTTTTATAATACTGTGCCAATTTTTAAATAAGGGTGTTGGATTTGGACTCCATAGATTTGGCATAACAGATGCTAGTTTGGGCTTTAATCCTTACTTTTCTGTATAAACATGAATACCATATGGTCGCGCAGTAAAGGATAGATCTAGTGCTTTAGTCCTGACCCTGTTGAATACAGAGCAATAACATATGCTTCACAACTGATGATATCTGGAGCTTTAATCTTTACATTGATGAATAAATATGGAAACTGTAGTTTTAAACAGCAAGTAAACTTTGCAGCGTCTCATCTGGAAAACTTACGTGACATAGTTACGCTTGATCGTGAAGATATGAAAGGACTTCATGGTGGGCAAGTCTTTTTACCAAGGCCCCTCACATAAGAATTTGCTGGCAAGAGAAGACCACGGTCCATCTAGTTTACCTTCCACCATCCTGGCAGTCGCTTGACAGGTCGTGTCCCCAAACTATACACCGTATCCCCAGGATATTATTTTCTAGCAGAAATCTATCTTGTTTGTTCTTGAAACAAACAACATTTTCTGCTTCCACCGTCTGTCTCCCGAGGGGAGCCCGGTCCGTACGTTTACTCCTCGCTCACTGAAGTAGTGTCTCCACAGATCTGTTCTGAATTAAGACCTGGATTAAGTAGTTTGGAGTAAGTAAGACTGATGCAGGTCAGTGTACCTGGTACTCACATCACATGGTGATAAAACAGGACAACAGTGAAGGAAAACTCTTTGGATGCGCAGTTTGAGACGTCTGGAAGACGTGAGCAGGCGCTGAATCAACTGCAAGGATTATTATTATTGTTATGTATAAACCACCGGCTTGTTCAAGTTTGACTGCATTGAGAAACCTCTTATTGTATTTAATTTTGACAAACACTTTTCTCCATCACCCAACTTTAGTGGCATTGCTGAGAAGCAAAGCACTGAATATTTTAGGAGACAATGTACAAAATGTCAGAGTCCTGTAGCTCAGTGGTTAGAGGACTTGCCTCGCAAGCGAGAGGACCCGGGTTTGATTCCCGGGCAGGACAAAATGTTGGGCAAGTTTCCTTACTCCACACACACACACCTCTGTTTATCCAGCAATAGGCAGGAACCTGGTTGTTGGTCGATTGGTGGATTGCTTTCCCGGGGGGTAATAATTCCTTAAAAAAAAACTCCACAATATAACCTGTAAAGTGCTTTGATACGTCTAAGATGACGTGATAAGCCTTTCCATCGAGGGCCAGGATTATTATTATTTATTGTTTACAAACGAAGGGTTGATTGAGAGGAACGATGTCCTGGGGAGAACCTCACAAAGTCCGTATCATCTGTTTATAATCTAGTGAGAGCTTTTGAGAGTGCAATTCATATGCTAACTGCTCAGTGAATATCATTAATCATCACAGGATTAACGCACTGGTGTTCGGGTCTGGCTCGATCCAGGGCTATCGATTGCAATTTTACCCAAAGACCAATTAGTTGTATGGAATATGCTGACATTTAATCGCTGTGCACAATTAACACGTTATAACTATAACTACAGCAAGTAATTACATCTGTGGGATACATGATGACAGGATCTGTAGGAAGAACAGCAGCCCTGGTCAGAGGATAGTATTTATACCACGCCTGAAGAATAATGAGAGGCTGAATCTTTTGCACAAAAATACACTGGCAACAACCAACTATAATAATAGTAATAATAATAATCCTTGCATTTGATACAGAGCCTTTATCACGGCTTCGAAACGTCTCAAAGTGCTTTTTTTTTCAAATGTGATGCGGGAAAAGCTCAGAGACAGACGTTCACAAACTCACAATACCACATCCCAGGCCGTGAATCTGAGCTCACCGCGTACAGAGAAGAGAAGCTAGTGATGGCCAGTCTCGCCTGGCCTCGCTCTCCAATTCTTTTTACCACCCGCTGCCTCTGCTTGACTGGCTCCTGCCTCCTGCTTGTTCCTCGTGCCCTCCGTTCCACCATCGGCGTCCGCACTTTCAGCCACTACGCCCCGGAACTCTTGTCACTCTCTCCCTCTATCTCTCCGCCTCGCCTCTTCCTTCCTTCCCCATCTTCAGGTTGCGCCTTCCTCTTCAACCAGTGCCTACGGTCACCTCTCTCCCCCTCCACCCCCCTCGCTCAGTGTCGTGCTCCGCTACCGTTAAGCTCTCCAGGACGTCGCCCGGCGTGAGGGTAGTGCTGCGTGAACGCAAGTGGTTGTTGCGGAGAAGAGAAGCTGGTTAATGGCCGCCCTCTCAGGCCTGCTGTCTCCAGTTCTTTATTAACGTGTGAATTCTTGATGTGAAACCGTTTACGATTCAGCTGCGGGCGAACCCGTCCTAATTAACACCAGAGCGACAAACCCATCCCCCGGGGCCCCGGTCTGACCCTCTTCACTTACAGCCACATGATCCTCCTCTTGTTGTGTTGCTAACATTGAAGTGTGGTTATTTAATGAGACCTGGACTGACAGAACCTGGAGAATTGCCGATTGCAGCCGGGACACTAATCGCTGCACTGTACATATCTCCCTTTCCTTCAAATGCACAGTCACAAAACTTTACTGAAAAATCAATAATAATAATAATAATAATGATAATGCTTCCATTTGACACAGCGCCTCATCACGTCTTCGAGACGCCTCAAAGCGCTTCACGGGATACACCGCAAAGTGAATCGACTGTAGATTTTGTGGGCGAAATCCCTGGACCAGGGAGCAGGCCTGGTTGAAGCCGCCAGCCGGTTGTGTAAATCAGCCGGCAAATGATGACTGCGGATTTAACTTGGTCTGTAAATGAACAGTGGCTTAAATAAGCTGGAGAATTTATTGCCTGGATATCGCTCCAGGGCTCCGGTCACTCTGTCTCATCAGGCCTGCCTGACCTCTTTTACATTATTGATTCAGATTAATAGATAGAGGAGCAGAAGAGAAACAAAAACCCTGGTTTGACAGGAAGAGAATTCAACTTTAAAAGTTCCCCTTTCCTCTCAATTTTTTTAAAAAAAATTAATAATAATAATAATAATAATTTGGTCACTCAATCCATGACGGTGTGAGGTTTGACACTGCTGTGAGCAATTATCTGCAGCGTTCCGCCCACGAAATACGCAGTCAATTCACTTTACAACAACAAAAACAACAACAAATGACATGTGGCTGGCGCCTTTCACCTCAGGAGGACGCCTCAAATCGCTGACTTTGCAGTATGTCGCGTGAAGCGCTTTGAGAGGTCTCAAGGACGTGATAAGACCCGATAACATATGTCCGTCCCAAGGAGATAGAAGGTATAAATGCTCAGTTAAATGTTAAATCACGAGCCTTCAGTGTATTTTGTTTCCCCACAGGTGCGGATTCCTTCAGCGACAACAGCTCGGTGAGCTACACAGACAGGTCAGAGAGCAGAGAAACGTCAATGGCGCCTTCGGTCGCCCCCTTCTTGTCAAAGCGGGAGTCAGAGGACAGTGACAGCAAGAGCGACAGGAGTGAATCAATGGCCAGCGGATCATCCTTTGAGGAACTGGACCTGGAAGGACATGATGACGGGGAAAGGTTAGGGCTCTCCCAACAGAACTCTGAGCTCAGGAAAGAACAGGACCATCCGGCGGGTCCGAAGAAACCTTCGGACATCAGCACGGAAGAGGAACAGTGAAAGTATAAGGAACAAATGTTTGATCGACGGTATTTCGGAACGAGTTATAGAATTGACCTGACACATTCCCTATGATATGTAAGAGTTTTGTGTGGCTCCGTGATTTCTATGTTGGGAATTATTCACAGTGAGAGGATTATTAACAAACACCTGCATTTACTGATCCGAACAAATTATTAACTGCCGATATTAAAAATTAATTCTGCTTTAGCGTTTAAAAGTATATTTCTTTGTATCCTCTTAAAATCATCTTTTTTTTAAAAAAAATTGTGGTTGATTGTAGCTGTTTGACGGCTGGTTTAATTGCTCTGGAAGCAGTGCTATAGTTTCCCACATTTCCCAACTTTTCTTAGGTTGGTCACTCAACCCACGACTGTTTGTGGGGACGCTGCAGTGCGCAATCGGCTGCCGTGTTTCGCCCACAAAATATACAGTCAATTCACTTTACAGTATATCCTATGAAGCGCTTTGAGGCGTCTCGAAGACGTGATGAACCTCTGTATCAAATGCAAGGAGTATTATTATTTTTATTATTATTAGAATGGCCATTTGAGCAAAGTACTGAAGACCAACCGTTTTTCACGCCACCAGATAGACAGGAGAAGGAGGCAGATCTCTTCAGAAGAACTGGGAGAAAAATTGGTTTCCAAAAAAAGTTGCTCTTTGGACATGATGGGGTGGGGGGGAGAACGAGTACGTTGGAAGGTTTGTTGACGACAGTACTCCTATAGGGACGTATCATCCAATGCTTTTTCTTTAGTTTAGTTTTGCTATAGTCAGTCCATAGTCCTACGTTTAAAAGTTTCTTCCAATACATTGAAATGAAAGTTACTGAGAACATTTAACTCTGTTACGCGTTGCCTGTAAATGTCAAGCCTTCAACTGACACCAGCACAGCAATAAATTAAAATTAAAAAAATGACTCAACTGTTTCTTGCCTCTGGTAGAACTTGGGGTAAGAGCGTGAGGGGCGGGGGGTGCGGGCGGGGGGTTAAAATCAGGAGGAGTGGGAATAGTTGGTTGCTCTTTGAAGCGCCGCAGGCACCATGGCCCGAAAGGCCTCCTCCTGCGCTGTAAGATTCTTGTCAGCTCAGGTTAACGGGAATCGAGTGTTCAGCAAACCTGCCGCGTTTAAATGTCTCCCGTACGATTTAAGTCGTGTGACGAAGGTCCTCAGTGTGTGTTTCTGTTCTGATTGCGCTCATTTGAAACTGAGAGTGTAATCCAGAGGGAGAGATCACAGAAGGACAGAATGTGGCAGATTTTCAACGTCGCCAGAAAACGCTGGAAACACACGAGTCAATGAATCAGCGGGTGAAAGAGAGGAAAGTGGGTTAACATTTCAGATGCAATTTCAAAGCAATCCACACCTAATTAAAGGAAGGGGACACGTGCCACAATAGGCCTTTCAATCTCTCCACAGGTCCCGAGACGAGGAAAACAGGACCAGGAGTCAGCGTAGATAATGGACAAACCCAACAGGAAAAAAAAATCCATCTTCAGAGTTAATGACCGGCTAACTAAGGAATGAATAGCGACAACATTGTCTTACTTGCTCGAAGGGCACAGATGTACAAGTTTGGCTCTGTAGCGATCTGTGACATCTGCTTGTAATGTTTGCAGGAGTTTAGTTGTTAGAGCTCTCGCCTCGCAAGCGAGAGGATTTAGGTTTGATTCCCGGGCAGGACAGTGCGAAACGTTGGGCAAGTTTCCTTACTCCACACACACACACACACACACACACACGCCTCTGTTTACCAGCAGTGAGTAGGAACTCGGTTGTTAATCGATTGGTGGATCGCACTCCAGGGGGTAATAATCCCTTCAACGAAAATAAGAAGAATTTGGTCACTTCAATCCGCGGCTGTTTGTGGGGACGCTGCTGTGCGCAATCGGCTGCCGGGTTTCACCCACAAAATATACAGTCAATTCACTTTACACTGTATCCTGTGAAGCGCTTTGAGACGACTCGAAGACGTGATCAGGCGCTGTATCAAATAATGGTTATTATTATTGTATCCTGGCACCTCCCTATCTCTCCGACCTCCTCACTCCCCAATCCACCACCTGGCGCCTCCGCTAGACTGGCATTGGCCTTCTGCTCATCCCTCACACTCTCCGCCCCACCACTGGAAGTCGTGCTTTCAGCCACTACGCCCCAAAACTCTGAACACTCTACCTCAATCCCTCCACCTTGCCCCCGCACTCCCCTTTTTCAAGTCCCGCCTGAAAGCTTTCCTGTTCAACCGTGCTTACGGCCGCCTTCCCCTACCCCCGGATCGGAGTCAGTCTCCTCCACTGTTAAGTGCTTTGAGACACTACCCTGCGTGGAGAGCGCTATATAAGTGCAAGTTGTTGCTGTTATATTCCCGGGCACTTTGAGATGCTGAACGTCGAGATAGAAATTCTATTGCATAAGAGTTTGACCGGGTTTCTCCACGCTGACACCAAATGAGCTTTATAATGAGTTGTTTTCCCGCCGGTGCTGGTTTTTAGCGAGCCAACGAGTGTGTCTCTTGGGTTGAAACAGAAGAGCAGAACAGTGGAGGCACAGAGAACTAGTTAGGATGATTAATGGAATATTAAAAGAAGCAAAAGTTTTCTGGTCCAAATGGTTAGTGGAAACTTGCCAACAGGCTGCGGATTATGGCTGGATCCATTCAAATGTTATCAGGTCAGGGTATCAGGGGATACTGGGCGAGGACGGGTAATTGGAGTTGAGGTGCAGATCAGCCGTGATCTTACAGAATGGCGGAACAGGCTCGAGGGGCTGAATGGCCTCCTCCTGTTTCTATGTTCCTGTGTTAAGTGTGGAAGACAGAGCGAATAGCCTCAAAAGAGACTCAGTTAAAGACGTGTATTTAATCATTTTAACAGCCCCACCATAATATAATGAAGGTGCTCCTGACGTCTCAGAGGGCAGTTACTGTAATGAGGCTTCAGCGTGGGGCAGTGGGAGCAGTCAGTAACATTGCGGTTTTACTTAAAAAATAAATTTTGGTCATCTGGGTATTTGACACATACGGAAACCCACCACCTTGGCTTCTGAGTGTCCAGGCCATACAGCCTTCTACGATATATATGTATGCCACCTGCACACGAAAATGTCCTTGGGTCTGGATTGAAACGCACACCTGGGAGGGATGTTATTTGGTCACCTGGATGAGTGTTGGGTACAAGTTGGGAGATACTCTTCCTCTCTGCAACACCGAAGCGACGGATAGTGAATATGAGCCATCTCCGATCTTCTAAACAGCTGAATCATCAAGGTGGAACCCTCCCAGGCATCTCCAGTCGTCACTGTATTGCAGCTTTGAACTGTTTATATTGAGGACTATTTACTGTCTAGTCAATTTTTCTATCCATTTTCCCTTGGAGTTTCATCCTTGAGCACTCTCCCTCCTCCCTGCTTTCTCTGCTGTGTTAAAATCATCACCCATTTTTGCCCTTCAGACCTCGAGACCTTCTGTTCGATGAAACACAGATGGTAAATCAGCCAGCCACAGGAGAAGGAAGGTAAGTCCACTTGTTGTCATTAACTGAGTAAAGTTAGAATAAAGTTAGAGAAAGATTATGTGTGAGGGAATAGCTATGCGCTGATTATCAACTCCAATGCAAGTATTTCTTTGGGGAAGGAGGTTTTTTTTTGTATTAACTGAAACCATAATAATACAAAAACAATCATCCCGGCATTTGACACAGGGCCTCATCACGTCTTCGAGACGTCTCAAAGCGCTTCACAGGATACACTGTAAAGTGAATTGACTGTGTATTTTGTGGGTGAAACGCGGCAGCCGATTGCTCACAGCAGCGTCCCCACAAACAGAGCGAGTGCTCTAACCACTGAGCTACAGGACTCCACCTTACTTCAGTAGGAGGAAAAAAAGGAATTAAATATCTTTAGGCAGAGCAGGTGTTGGGGTTGGGTGGGGGAGCAAAATGTGTGAGAGAATAACAGAAGACCTTAAGATAGATAGGGAGAGGGTCCATTGGCTCCAAACGACATAAATACGCCTAATTTATCACTATCCACAACAACAAATTACATTTGTAGCGCCTTTCACATTATTATCAGCAGATATTTAAACATTACTATCAGCAGCGGCTGCACAACAGACACTTCCCAGGAAGGCTGATGCTCGAAGCCGATTCAAAGGATTATTGTCAGTGACGCCCACAGTTTTCGCTATAACTCTGAAAGTGACGGCAGTTTTCTTGCCTCTGGGTCTTTCCAGTCCAGGGAGGTGATTTCTCTGGCACCGGAGAATGGGCTGCTGTTCACCTGCAGATTTTTAAAATGTCTTTTTTTAATCGACTTTAGAGAAGGGAACAATCGAAGCAATAGTGCCAGTGCAATTACTTTGAATTGAATGTTAAACACGTTTTGGTTTTCAACATTAACAAGTTCTTTCGCGCGACCATTTAACTGACTAAACTCCGCTCAACCAGTTGTCGCCCACACCATATACAGTCACTGCACTTTACGGTATATTCCGTAAGCGTGAGCCAGGCGCTTTGAGACAGCTCGTCGCAGTGATAAGGCGTTATATCAAAAGCAAGGATTATTATTATTATTATTAATGCAGGAAAAGGCTTCACAGACTGCTGCTGAAAGGACAGAGGCTCGCACATTTTAATTTTAAACGTCAATTAAGGACTACAATATCAGATTTTGGAAGCAGCTAAACAACTTCATTAAAATTCATATTGTTCAGGCAATAACCAATTTACATATGAATCCATGCTTCAAAATAGGATTCCATTAAAATAATCCACGCTCTCAAGTTCCACCCAACGCTGCACGAAAGCTAAACACTAACCCTTTTCATTTCATTGGCTAAACATAAAATATTGTTTATCTTTTGTGGAAGAATTATTAAATTAAAAATATCTTTTTCTCTCCGTGTCCAGGGCTGTTCAGTCATGATATCCGGTTATCTGTTGAATATCAAATTATGTTTCTTAATGAGAAAAATGCAACGCAGCCGTCACTGATTCTATCTTCTGTGAGGAATGGAGGTACTTATCTCTGAGATGGATCTCTCATTCCTTCTCATTCTTTTATCCATCATAATTTATCTCCTGGACACAACTGCGGATATTTTGGCACTACAGATTCACATTAAGGTGGGCCCATTGATCACTGAACCTAACATTCACTCTGCTTAGACTCGAGGTCTTTGACCTTAATCTCTCAGAATCATTCCTCAACCAGTAGAGATACTCAGAGGGGGCTCCTACTATGTTGCTTCACTATAAGAATAATAATAATAATAATAATCCTTGCATTTGATACAGCACCTTATCACGTGTTCGAGACGTCTCAAAGCGCTTCACACAATAGACTGTAAAAAATGATCAGTCTATAAATATAATAATAATCCCTCAAGAAAAAAAAACAATCATAATTTGGTCATTTCAATCCACGGCTGTTTGTGGGACGCTGCTTTGCGTGACTGGCTGCTGTGTTTCGCCCACAAATATACAGTCAATTCACTTTACAGTGTATCCTGTGAAGCGCTTTGAGACGTCTCGAAGGGAAGCTAGCGGAAGATCTAATAGAGAGTTTAGGAGGAACATCTCCATGCAGACAGAGCTGGTGAAATGTCCATCATACATTATAAACTATTTCACTAGGTATTAGGTTTAAGTATGTTTATGTTATAATCAATATAATCATTGCATCCTCTCTAATCAATAAAATAGTGTATAATAAAACATGATATTTTCAGTAATAATAAAGTAATAAGATAATACAATAATTCAGGTAAGTATATAAGGGAATTGTCTTGATCTGCTGTAGTATTGCAGGGAGATTAAGAACCTAATATAATATTATAACTTATGGTCAGTTCTGTACTGTTCATTCAGTAACATAATGAAGAACAGCTCCATCTATTGCATATTCAGTGTTGGGCCTTGTGTGTGAAGCAATCGATGGGTGAAACAGTGTCGACTGTATGTGACTGCAACCTCATCTCTGGAAAGGATTGTTTCCAAAGGAAGTTATGATAAACAGTTTCCTTTCTTCTCCAGGAAGTTTATGTCAGGTTACAAGATTTTTTGTGTATGTGTTTAATTAATAATAATCCTTGCATTTGACATAGCGCCTTATCAGGTGGTCTCAAAGCGCTTCATAGGAGATACTGTAAAGTGAATTGACGGTATATTTTGTGGGCGATACGCAGCAGCCAATTGCACACAGCAGCGTCCCCACAAACAGCCGTGGGTTGAATTGCTTTAAGCAAATAAAATATTATGATGTCAAAGCTTTTAGAAATATGTTTGTACTCCCTTTGGGCTATTTTGATACGGAATGAAACATTTATTCATCGCGTTCATTGTGAAAGGTAAACAGAGAGGAACAGGGAGAATTAGAAATTCCAAGCTGCAGGGGATCCAGAGTCTTACATTGTTTGAATCTGTTGGATACCAAAATAGATCAAATGTTGGATAAAATAGCGAGCGGACCGATTGAAATTATATTAAAACCTGATCATCCATTGGGTTTGATATTCCAATTAAGTAGCGATTAATTTTTGAGGAATTAATTAATGACCTATTTAGCTATGTTTAAAAATAATATTATAACCTTCTTACACACCTAACTAGTTCACTCACTTTGCGGAGGTTAGGTACTCTCTGGGTCAAGGAATGAAAATTACACTGTATTTTCTGTGGTACAGAAGTTGCCGCCAAACTACTTCAAATGCCATAATCGTTTATTGAGACTTAAGTATAATGATATTATCGTCTATCAAAACAAACTGTGGATATAATGCTGTCATAAATACACTTACAGAGGTTATGGACCTCAGATAATAAGAACAATAATCCTTCCATTTGATATAACGTCTTATCACGTCTTCAAGACGTTTCACAGTGTGTCACAGGATATACTGTAAAGTGTAGTGACTGTATATTTTCTGTGCGAAACTTAATAAAATGTTAGCACAATAAATACAATCGACTTCTCAAAACATCACACAAAGGGCTTTATGAGTCTAGAGACAGGACATGGCAGATTATTATTGACAAAGGACACTGTAATAACAATAATACTCCTTGAATTTGTGAGAGCGCCATATCATGTCTCCGAGACGTCTCAAAGCGCTTCACCGGATAGATTGTAAAGTGGAGTGACTGTGTGCGATGTATCTCACACAGAGTGAGGAAGCGCCTTTCTCGGATTAAATCTTCCTGATCATCTTGAATCGTGAATGTTTAATTTTGTTACGATTGGAACAGGATCCCAGAGAGAGATGCCACAACCCCTTAACACCTGAAAAAATTCCTTCCCCATCTTCAGGTCGCGCCTGAGGACCTTCCTCTTCGACCGCGCCCGCGGTAACTCCCCCACACACCACCCCCTCCCCGTCCACACACACAAACACCCACTGTTTGAAAAGCAGCCGTGTCTGATTAAAGGGTTAACCTGTTTGTGGATGCGTTCTGCACAAGACTGGGAGCAGAGAGAGACACAGAGAGACAGAGAATACATTCTAAAGACTCGTTCAATATAATTGCTTTCGCACCAGAACAAATCATTGGTGCCAAATTGAAATGTTTTGTCACTGAAGTCTCCTTCAAGAATAATGGTAATGTGGCAATGTTTTTTTTTTGGGGGGGGGGGGGAATGGAAGTGATTTAAATGGCATCAACACTCCAGCAGGAGGAAAATCTGAGCTTCATCAGGACAAACACACACACACACACACATTGACAGCAGTGAAGCAAACAAAGACAACAGCTTGACCATCAGAGGCAGCCTGTAACATACAGTCACTACACACAGCCCTGGTCAGAGACAGAGAGAGAGACACAGACACACAGAGAGAGTTAGAGACACAGAGAGAGACAGACACACACAGAGAGACAGACACACAGAGAGAGACAGACACACAGAGAGACAGACACACACACAGAGAGACAGACACACAGAGAGACAGACACACACAGAGGAGGCAGAGACACAGAGAGAGACACAGACACAGAGAGAGACAGAGACAGAGAGAGAGAGAGAGACAAAGAAAGAGAGACAGAGAGAAGGCAGTGAGAGGCTCAGAACAACTACTGTTCTGGACTGTAGTGAGTGAGACAGAGAACTTGTAAGAGCAACGCCATCCAATCCCAACAGAGCCCCCCCCCCCACACACACACAGTATTAAGCTGACAGGCAAACACCCCAAGTGATGAGTTAAAAGGTGGAACTTGCAGAAAGAGCATTTAGCATCAAGTTGAGGACTGGTGATGGAGCAGTGATGGGCTGGGGCTGGGGGGCTGGGGCTGGGGGCAGCCAGTGTGTGAGTGGGACAGACCTGGGCAGCTCCTCTGGTGAGAGCCAAACCACTGACCAGAGATTTCAATCTTCCACCAGAGGAGAGGATTTGTGTTTCTATCAAAAAGGGGGAGAAACAAACATCCATCTCTACAGTAAATAGCTATAGATAAGATAAGAGCAGTCAGTCTGCTCATCTCTGCTCATCTCTGCTCATCTCTCCCTCTCTCTCACCATATCTGATGGGAACATATCAGATGTAATGAATATCACACATTATCTTCTCAATTGAAGCATTCCTCTCTCTCTCTCTCTCTCTCCAGTGAAGGTAAGGTAACGCAGATAATGTTTCGTGAGTCTCTGTTTAACAACACAACAAAGGATGTTTTATTTTAAAAAGAAAATTGATGATGATGATGATGATTATTTAATTCATCTTAAATTTCTTCCAAACCCTCTGCAATAATTGGAAAGTCTGTGGTGTTGTGGAAAGAGGGAGAAGAGGAGGGTTTTTTTTGACACTGAACTGATGGTATTTTGATAGCAATGATATGGGAGTGAAATTAATATTACTTCTGTTTGTCTGAGCAACAGTCGTATTGATATTCTCGAGTTTGTGATTGTGATTGTATATCTTTTAAATAAATAGCTATGTATATCGCTGTATAATATCGAAGTCAGGTGTGTAAGAGGGTTATAATATTATTTTTTAAATAGCTAAACAATAGCCATTATTGTTATTGTACTGTTATTTATATAAACCATCTATTATTTAGCTTTGTTTTAGATATACTGTTATTTATATTAAAATAATATATCCCTATAATTATTATTGTAATTCGAAACAAAATCTACACATGATCACAGTGTGTCAAAGTGAATTGGATGGAAGTCAGTGAAGCCTTTCGTCCAAATTCCTTTCCCTCTCCCTCTCTCTTTCATTCAAGGTTTATTTTTTAGAGTGGATTTATGTACAACTGTCGCCTTGTTATTCCTGCTCTTGAGATCAGCATTAACACTCTCAGTGATTGCATTAATGCCTTGTAAAGCAAACACATCTGATGCTTGGCCACACACTCACTCACTCACTCACACACTCACTCACTCACTCACACACTCACTCACTCACTCACTCACTCACACACTCACTCACTCACACCTTGGGGATGGGTTCGATCACCATTCTTTACCATTTACACACACAGTGGTGTGTATGTGTGTGGAATATATCTATATCTATATATGTGTGTGTGTATACAGATTTTTCTAACTTTCAGTAACACTGTACGTTCTGGAGATACATAATAATAATAATAATAATTAATAATAATACCGGCATTTGACACAGCGCCTCATCACGTCTTCGAGACGTCTCAAAGCGCTTCATGGGATACACTGTAAAGTGAATTGACTGTATATTTTGTGGCCAAATACGTACTCAATAATACTTTGGGGCTGCGTAATCTCAATGACCATTAAAAATAAAGAAGGTGATGTTGATTTACCGTTTTTATTAATGAATGTGCTAATGTCGTAATTAATACCTTATTACATTAATCATAGTGTAGAATATGAATTGATTAGGACTGAAAAAGGATGACAAAGTGTGAAAATCAGCTTGTCTATCAATAGTGAGGTTCAGCTGTTTGCTTTAATCCTCGCTTTTATTTTTTTATCAGCACTCGGCTAAAAATAATAATCCTTCCATTTGATCATATCTTCGAGACATCTCAAGAAAATGCTGTGAAGTGAATTGATTGTATATCGTCCCACAAACAGCCGTGGATTGAGCATTATTATTATTATTTTATTAAAACATTTTGAAGGGATTATTACCCCCAGAAAAGGATCCACCAATAGGCTAAAAACCGGGTTCCTACTTACTGCTATGTAAACAGAGGCGCGGGTGTGGAGTAAGGAAACTTACTTGCCCTGCCCGGGAATCGAACCCGGGTCCTCTCGCCTGCGAGGCGAGCGCTCTGAGGTTTGAGATGTGGAACCGGCAGATTCACTCACCCAGAAAACTCCCGATGACAAACTCTGATACCAGTCCCTAAATGGTCAGACCAGTCCCTAACAACACCGCAACCCTCCTTGGTTAAAGTTAAAGTGAGGATCTTGCCGGCATAGTTATATATCAAAAAGAGATTAGATGAAGAGATTGTTAGTTTGGGTGTGGCAGTCCAGCTCAGCACTGTAATACCGCACTCCTGCTCCGGAGACGTCCATAACGTTATCATTAGGATCTGTGTACTCAACACTGACAAATTATGTTTAAATGTCATTAATTGTACCCTGGAGACACCAATCGTGCCCGGTTCCTACAGCGTATAGAATTGGTTTGGGAAAGAAATTAGTTGTTTTATGGGGCTCCGTCCATTATGACCACCTGATGCTGCTTCAATTGAAAATCATGGCATTGATATTCATCGAAGAATCGATGCTGCTAAAATCTAGCAATCGCACTCAGTGAAAGGATCAAACACATCTCTACACATTAAACACTGGAGATCCATTCAAATGTACTTGGGAAACATATTGCAATTAACCCGACTTGTCCCATTCACATCTCATTAGAACGAGGTTTTGAACTCGGGAAAGCAGTGGTGTGATTAAATAGTTCTAATTCAGGTTTAGGATGCTTCCAATCCTTCATATTCTGAGTAGAAATCAGCCTAAAAATGTTCACTTCACAGTATATTCACAGAACATACTGTAAAGTGAATTGACTGTATATTTCGAGGGCAAAATGATCTTATATTTATCCCCCCTTTTCAATGTATTTGCGTGTGCCTTTTTTTGTTTTAGGATCTCCACTCCACATTACGGTTAATTGCTAGTCTGGTGGTGGAGACAGGACCTTGCTATCTGGACACTTGTAGTATCAAGCCATCTCCTAAACTCCTTTGCTAAGCTTGAAATACGAAATGCTCCAAATTAATAATAATAATATTTTTTGCATTTGATGCAGCGCCTTATCACGTCTTCGAGACGTCTCAAAGCGCTTCATAGGATATATATATATATATATAGTGTACCAAAAAGTGAATTGGCTGTGTATTTTGTGAGCCAAATCGTCTGACGACTGAATGATGTGGAACATAAATACTTTTTGAAATCTTCACAATGCTTCTATTCGGTCCATGAAATCTGATTAAGACATAAACATTTTATGACCAATAAATATTATCTCAGGCTGGAAACAGCTGGTGCGGAAAGGGGAATTGGCATAGAATTTACAAATGTACTGAATGGTTTGGGAATACTTCACCATTTACCGTTTAACATTACAGACACTCCCTCAAAATGCTGATTGCACTTCACTTTTTGCTACATGTTAACCAGTTTGTTTTCCCTAAATTTATAATAATAATCCTCGGGTTTGCTACAGCACGTCGTCGAGACGTCTCAAAGCGCTTCGCGGGATACACCGTAAAGTGTAGTGACTGTGCGCTTTGCGGGCGAAACGCGGCAGCCCAGTTGCGCACAGCAGCGTCCGGTAGTGATGATGTCTCATCTTAGCTGTTCAGCAGCCAAGCTCGAGATCACCAAAGCCTCCCCCGGATTCACGGTATGATCGAGTAATAAAGGCTTAGAGAGCTTACAAGGTATGTCTCCAATCTGATCTGTAGCCTCACCAGCTCGGGGCAACATTGCATGTTGCTCCTGCTCAAGGCTCCAAGGAGTAGGAACACCAATCAGTCTGACTTCACCATCAAAGCACTGTGTCATTTCCTCTCTTCCCTGACAGAAAGATTCGCAGTCTAGGCAGAAAATCGCCCTAATTGGCACAAGCTGCTATTTCGCCCTCGTCTCCTCTGATTTAAGAAGCGCACTAGCACTACCCAGGCTGCCCAAACTCACTACAGGCATCGCATCTCTGACGGAAACCGTCTTACCCACGTTCCCATCCACACACCATAAAAGCTCCCCGGAAAAGAAACCCCCAACCATTTTTTCTTTTTGCTACGGCAAAGCCGCGAAGATTTTTCAGTAATTTGCCCCTTTGAAACCTGCAGCAATTGTTTGCAGGAGCAGCGAGAGGGAAAAAAGAAACCCTTGATAGATAGAAAAAAAGAGAGTTTGAAAAGAGGTTGAAGTCACACAGCACAGAGGCAGGAATTGCAACTTTTTCCACAATAACAAACCATTTTGTCACTGTCAGAATCCCAAGGCAATTTTAAAACCCTTCAACAATAAGGCCAAAAGATGATGTCAATTAAAACATGAGTTGAAAATGTTAACAAAGACCTCTGTATACAAAGAATTGGCTGCCACGTTTCGCCCACAAAATATGCAGCCAATTCACTTTACACCCTATTCTGTGAAGCGCTTTGAGACCTCTCGACGACGCGATGAAGCTCTGCGTCAAATGCGAGGGGTTATTGCGCAGCAGCTTGAGAGAGAGAGAGAGAAATAAAAAGATAATCTGAAAGAGACACATAAGAGTGAAAGAGAATCTTAACTGCTTAAAGAAAGAAAATAGGCCAATACTTTAACGTGAACACAGACCCGCACATTAAGACACAAACGCAAATGGACAGAATACCAATATTCAAATGCAGAACAGAGAGAGAGAGAAGAGATGCACAGATACACACACACCCAGACACGCACCCACACACACGCACACCCACTCGCGCACACCCACACACACACCCACAGGCAGAGTCACAGCTAAGACAGGAAAGCAAAGATGGGAGCTGGAGTTGATGACAATTCATTCTAAATTGACTCTTGTGTTTACAATGATGGGTTTACCTGCCGAGTCTGTCACTATCAGGCTAACAAACCACAGACCAATATAACTCACAATGTCTACGTCGTACTCACTCTCGCGCCAACAGAAACTCTATAACTCTGTGATCTCTTTATCATCCACTCTCCATCACTGTAATACTAACTCCCCATAATGCCTCCTTCATTAAACATTCCCTTGGTGTCTCGGTATTCTTGTAACTTGCTCATGTAGTTTCTATCACAGTCGGTCTCCGGCACAGCTTCTCTGTAATAGACCTTCACTAGAAAATACCTTCTGTGTAACGTATAATAATAATAATCCGTGCATGTGATACAGTGCCTCGTCAAGTCTTCGAGACGTCTCAAAGCCCTTCGCAGAAAATACTGTAAAGTGAATTGACTGCATATTTTGTGGGCGAAACTCAGCAGTCAATTGTGCACCACAGCGTCCCCACAAACAGCCGTGGATTGAGTGACCAAATTATTATTATTATTATTCTTTTTTTGAAGGGATTATTACCCCCGGAAAAGTGATCGGCCAATCGACTAACAACCGGGTTCCTACTCATTGCTGGTAAACAGAGGCGTGTGTGTGGAATAAGGAAACTTGCCTAAAGTTTCACTCTGTCGGGAATCACACCCGGGTCCTCTCGCTTGCGAGGCGAGAGCTCTCACCGCTGAGCTACAGGACTCCACATTCTTTTCCTTTTTTCTTGAAATTAAGTAACTCTGAATCTATTTTCTATATTTTTTGGCTATTATCTCCCTATCCCCCCCCCCCCCCCGTCCCTTACTCAGATAACCGTTGTGATTGTTGTTATGGACAAGTCACTTACTATGCAATGATACCAACAGAGAGAAGATACAGTGGCCCCCTATTGATATCTCCATCATTACAGTAGCCTCGCGAACCGGAGGAGCTTTTCGATCGTCAGTCTCCAGCCGGGAAGCAGGACAGAACCAGCAGCAATTTTATGGATCGTAATGAACACGAGGTGACAGTCATTGCCATTGGGGACAGGAGGGATCCATGTGGTTTGTGGTCCATTAGCAGTGAAGCCACAAGGTCTCGAGGGGGAGTGGGAGTGTGGGGCGGACTCTGGCTGGTAGTCTCACATTGGGCTGATTAGCTGAGATATGCTTCCCATTTGCCTGAACCTCCAGTGAGTCTCAGTTAAGCTGTAGAACCATAACCAGCGTGAGACCTTTATGGGATTCTTCAAGGAGTCAGTGAATTTCCACAGACTATTTGACAACAGGAAGTGCTCCAGCTGAGCCTGATCTTGGTCAATTTGCACCCCTCGTGTGGCTCTGTCGCTAATTTACCTCAGAGTATGGATTGACCCTGCTCCTTACCGTGTGTACAGTCTGGTCATTTTGGTCACTCAATCCACGGCTGTTTGTGGGGACGCTGCTGTGTGCAATCGGCTGCCGCGTTTCACCCACAAAATATACAGTCAAATCACTTTACGGTATATTCTGTGAAGCGCTTTGAGGAACAGGAGGAGGCCATTCAGCCCCTCGAGCCTGTTCCATAAGATCATAGCTGATCTGTACCTCAACTCCAATTACCTCCCTTGCCCCATATCCCTTGATACCCTGAACTAAACAATTTTTCGATCATATGCAGAAAGCAGATCGCTTGTTTCCTAATCGCTGAAGGGGGAATCTTCTCATTTATCTTATCCTTAAAAGCTCTCGGATCAGTGAACAGGAGAAGCTCGAAGCAGAAACAGTGACCTGGGAAGTGCAGTATGTTCATTTGAATAGTATTCACCCTCTGTAAAATAAAATAAAATAAGTAAGGGGCAGCAGATCGCAATCCATTTTAACCTGTGTTCATTTATTTTCATAGTCAATTTAAACAAATTTTAAGAAGGGTCATAAATACCCCCCTCCCATCCCACTCCCCCTCCCATAGCCCGTACACAATCACTCTCAGGCATAAATCTCCTCGGTAATATATAAAAGAAGAAGATATCACATCTTCGAGACACCTCAAAGCGCTTCACAGAATATACTGTAAAGTGGAGTGACTGTATGTTTTGTGGGGGAAACACCAATTGTGCACAGCAGCGTCCCCACAAAAGGCCGTGGATTGAGCAACCAAATTATTATTAGTAGTAGTAGTAGTAGTAAATAGTATTGACATCTCTTACCGGAATAAACACTTAATTTTTCCAATTTATTAAGATGACTAACTCTGACCTGGTGTTGACTGCCTGTCCAATAATCCATCTCAGTTATGCAATGCTGCTTGAATTCCTCTTCAATGATTCAGGGAGATACATTGCTCCTTTTTTTTCATGTTTGCAGACATGTTTTTAAGATGGGTTCAGAGTGGTGGAAATACTGTGGCTAAATGCAGACAATATGTTTGTTACTTAATCTCCCGAGAGATGAGAAAGAGAGAAGGAGACAGAGAGAGGAGAGAGATAAAGAGAGAGAGAGAGAGTGAGACATTGGGATTTTCTGAACTCCATCTAGTTTATGCTAAAATTGGTGTTGGTTAAGTCAGTGTTGAGACAATAGCTTATGAGTTAGATGGGTATAACAATATTGAAAGATTAATATAAATAAATAACAATCAATACAAATAAATAACAATCTTACACCGGAATTATACCAGTTTTCATTCCAATTTCTAGTTGGGAATACTGAATGCCTCTGGAACAAATTAGGATCAGTTAAAAATCTCTTCTCAGTAATTGACTTGTGTCTGACATGGCTGTGAACAGAATTTATTCCACCTCCTGTTGCTTAATGCTTTGTAGAGTAATGATAATTTCCCAAATATATGAATTTGAATCGCCTGTTGTAGGGGCTGTATTTGATTAAATTATCAATCCTCATGTTAGAATGATGGAATGATTATAACTACTGCTACTGATAATATCCTTGCATTTGACACAGCGCCTTATCAAGTCTTCGAGACGTCTCAAAGTGCTTCACGGAATATACTGTAAAGCGAGTTGACCGTATATTTTGTGGGCGAAACACGGCAGCACAAACAGTGGTGTATTGAGTGACCCAGTTATTATTATTATTATTTACTTATTTATTTTGAAGGGATTATTACCCCCAGAAAGTGATCTGCCAATCGACTAATATCTAGGTTCCTGCTCACTGCTCGTTAAACAGAGACGTGTGTGTGGAGTAAGGAAACTTGCCTAAGGTTTCACCCCACCTGGGAATCGAACACAGGTCCTCTCGGTCACGAGGCGAGGGCGCTAACCACTGAGCGACAGGTCTCCACATGAAGAATGAGAAGAATGGTGCCTGTGGCTCCTTCTAATGCCTGTTCTTTGACATTATTTCCGCAGGTGATCGTATGATGCGATCGACATTCAGGATAAGAGAATCATTTGCCCATTCCATGACAATCAGGGAGATCTCGATTCTCCAGTGAAGACCCACAACATGAAGACTCCAGGCGTCTCTTGTGTGTCTCGAGTCCTCCTGCTTCACCTCTTCCTCCAGAATGTGTTGCTGACACCCAGTTATTCCACAGGTTCAAACAAGGAGATCGCAATCGAAGGAGATCTGGTGATTGGAGGTTTGTTCCCAGTCCACGAAAAAGGCAATGGTTTGGAAGACTGTGGCAGAATCAATGAGCAAAGGGGTATCAGCGGCTGGAAGCTATGCTCTTTGCTCTGGATGAGATCAATAAGGACCCCGCTATCTTGCCCGGCATCAAGCTCGGAGCCCATATCTTAGACACTTGTTCAAAGGACACGTATGCTCTGGAGCAGTCCCTGGACTTTGTCAGGTCCTCCCTAACTAAAGTGGACGAGACAGAGTACATATGCCCAGATGGGTCGTATGCCATCCACGATGAGATGCCGTTTGCAATAACAGGCGTCATTGGGGGATCCTACAGCGATGTGTCTATTCAGGTAAGACAACAACAGCAATAACAACAACCAATGACTACACAGGGCCTTTCATGTCAGGAGGACGACCCAAGGCGCTGGACAGTCAGAGATCCGGACCCGAGCTGGAGGTTGGGATCAGGAGGGGTGGAGGGCAGGGAGGGCAGGGGTAGGTGGGTAACCGAAGGCGCGGTCGAAGAGGAGGGTCTTGAGACGGGTCTTGAAGGAGCCAAGGGCACCGGGAATGATGGTATCACTGTAGGGAAACCAGGTGAAATGTGTAGCTGTGACTTACAATGCAATAACTGGTGATGAATTTCCATCTTGTTACATTTTCAATAATTATTTGGAATGACCTGGTTACAAAGGCAGGAAACAGAATTAAACCTTGCACCGTCTTCTCACCCTGTTGTTTAGGTAAATGATCAGGATTTGTTCCCTCTTGTTCTCGGCAGGAAAAATCTTGTTCCTTCATCTCCCGCTGAATCCGAAACCCATCCATTCCCTCTGTGAACTCTTCATTCTTCTTCACCTCGATGATGGCCTCAACAGATCATAATAATATGGTCACTTAATCTACCATTGTTTGTGGGACATCGCTGTGTGCAATTGGCTGCCACGTTTCGCCTACAAAATATACAGTCACTACAGTATATTCTGTGAAGCGCTTTGAGACGTCTCGAAGGCGTGATAAGGTGCTATTATAATAATAATAATAATAATAACCCTTGTATTTGACATAGTGCCTTATCACGTCTTCTAGACGTCTCAAAGCGCTTCACAGAATATACTGTAAAGTTCGGTGGGTGAAATCAAATGCAAGAATTATTATTATTATTATTATTCTATAAATGAAGCGGGTTAAGTATTCATTAATTAATTTATACTAAGCCTGCAGGCAGCTTATAATCATATCATCAGTTCAGCTTTAATGGATCAACACATTAAAGAACTTTTCTATAACTGCCTCGCTGATTTGTGCCAGGTTATTAAAACATTGATCCTGTTTCCCACTCCAGTTTTCATTTTCTCAATTAAAACGGATTTATCGGGGCTTAGTCTCTATTTATGGATCATTGAGTCATCGCGTTTTACCAAAATCTCGAAGACCTAAAAACTCTCGATGCTAATCTGAGCCGTGAAGCTTTATGTCTTACCGTCCACTATTGCATTTCCCTGCCAAATCTACCCGCAGTTACAGCTTGTGGTGTTGGCGTGGAAATTGGACACTATTGTGCTTCTCATTGGGAAAGAGATAGCAAACGCGGAGCAACTACTGCCAGCATCAAGTCATTCCAATCCCGCCTGGGCCTGAGGTGTGAGTATGGATTGGAAGCCATTTGAAGTTTCCTCCCCTGACAATGACCTTTCCTCCCCCTCGAACAACACCTTTGCTGCAGCGTGGAGACCTGTAGCGAGCGCTTAGGGCATTGACTCGTCGGGGATTGGTGCTGTGACCTGTCTTGTTCTCTATGCATATCTCATAACATCTAAATTTGCCGATGATGCTGAAGGAGGAGGTGTTGTTAACAGCGACAGAGGGACAGATAGACGGATGCTGTGGTAGAGGTAATGAAGTTAATGCTATCCCTCCCTCCGCCTCACCCCTTCCTTCCCCATTTCTTCTTCGACCTTTCATGCCTACGGTCACCTCCCTCCTCCCCCTTCCCCCATCTCGCCCCCCACCCGGCTCAGCGTTAGGCTCCGCCACTATCAAGCGCTTTGGGACGCTATCCTGGGCGAGGGGGCGCTTTGTAAATGCAGGTTGTTCTTGTAGTAGTTCCCGCAACTGACGCTTAGAATGCGGGAGTAAATAAATGTGACTGTAACTTTACTGTTGCTTAACTGCTCGGCCAATCTGCCTGGCCTTCGCCTTCCGTCTGCTTTGCCAGGAGCATTTGACTCTTTTAATCTGCTGTTTAGCTGTCAAAAGTACATAACATCTCAAATGGTAGGTGGTCAGATTTCAAAACGAGAGAGAGAGCCTCCTGGTTGCTGCCTGGTTTATAAAAGCAGTTGCTATAATTACTGCTTTCACTGATGGGATGAAGCGCGTAATTAAAGGCAGAAAGAGAAAGAGAGAGAGAGAGAGAGAGGAAGGCAAAGGGATTAAAAATAAGATAATATCAAGGAGGTGCCACACACATTAACCCTGGGATCACGTGCGCGAGGAAGGTTTCTGAACAGTTATTGTTTGTCACCAGCAGTCACAATACAATACAAAATTACAGCGCCTTTAAATTCCTTAAAAAAGATAATAAAGTGGTCACTCAACCCACGGCTGTTTGTGGGGACGCTGCTGTGCGCAATCGGCTGCCGCGTTTCACCCACAAAGCATACAGTCAATTCACTTTACAGTGTGTCCTGTGAAGCGCTTTGAGACGTCAAATGCGAGGGTTATTATTAATTTCTCGTCAGGAGGACGTCCCGAGGAGCTGGACAGTCAGGGATTTGGACCTGAGCTGAGGGTTGGGATCAGGGAGGGGTGGAGGGCGGGGAGGGTGGGGGTAGGAGGGTGATCCAACACACGGTTGAAGAGGAGGGTCTTGAGACGTGCCTTGAAGGAGGCGAGGGAGTAATCCATTATTGCTACATGATGCTTTCATTGGCAATTTGAATGCAAGGATTATTTTTTATTTTAAAATGCAGTATGAGTAATTGCTAAATGTGTCCTTCCCAACCCAAATTGCTATTGCGCTAATCGCAAAATTCAACAGTCTGAATAGACATTGTTTAGAGGCAATGGAACGGATTCAGGGAATAGTGGTAAAGAATGTTAGAAGAATAAAGAAGATTTAGAAGATCAATGAGGTGTGGAGAGCCTAAGGGAGTTAATATGATTGCCGCGGAAAAAGAATGCTACTGCTAGTACCTGGTAACTCAATGTGTGGCACTAAATTGGTCCCTTTGCAGAGACTATGTTGAACTTAGACTCCAGTCCTACATTCTGAGCATTTTTAATAATAATAATAATAATCCTTGCATTTGATATAGCACGTCTTTCAGACGTTTCAAAGCGCTTCACAGAATAGACTGTAAAGTGAATCGACTGTATACTTTGTGGACGAAACACGGCAGCCAATTGCGCACAGCAGCGTCCCCACAAACAGCCGTGGATTGAAGTGACCAAATAATTATTATTTTATTTATGTATTTATTTATTTTTGAAGGGATTGTTACCACCGGAAAAGCAATCCGCCAATCGACTACCAACCTGGTTCCTATTTACTACTAGGTGAACAGAGGCAAGTGTGTGTGTGTGTGTGGAGTAAGGAAACTTGCCCAACTTTTCGTCCTGTCCAGGAAGCGAAGCCGGGTCCTCTTGCTCGCGAGGCGAGAGCTCTAAGAGGTTTCAGGAAATGAACCTTTGATGTGTTCCTATCTATGACCCACAGCATCCAGCGACTGGCCAAGGAAACTTGAATGCACCGGTAATTTTAGCATATTAAAGGCTGCTATCAAGCTGCAAACTGTCCAAACACTTGGCTAGTCACCATCCAGAGATGACAGACAGTTGGTGGGAGAAGTACTTCCAGGCAGGATACCAAACTCCTGTCTGATTAAAATTTTAGTCCTGGCGTGTGAGTGAGTCCAATTGTTTGCGATGGGTGGATTTTTAACTCGTTCTTCTTTATGAATCGTGTGGGTTTAATTGTTTATTTGACCGTAATCGTGAGCGAATCCTGCAATCCCTGGGTGGACTTACACAAAGATGATTATACTCCCTCCGCCGTCCCCGTACAGCCGAGAGTTGCTGTTGTGGCGAGTCTGGAGCCTGTAATTACTGTGACTCTGAACAGTTATTTGCACCAATTATGATGAAGTGTTTATTTTCTTTACAGAGTCTGCTACAGTATCAGACTGTTACCTGCTGCTTTTTTGGGGGGTTACAAACTGGACATAAGCTCATTTTCTTTATTGCCTGAAAACATTGTCAATATTTGAACATGGATATCTGTGGGGACTGGATCCTGGCAGCTCAGTGGTTAGAGTGGTTAGGTACTGGTTGCTAGACAATTGGTAGATCATTTTTCTGGGGGTATTAATCCCTTCAAAAAATTAACTAAAGGAAAAATAATTTTAAAAAAATAATAATAATTTGGTCACTTCAACCCCCGGCTGTTTGTGGGGACGCTGCTGTGCGCAATTGGCTGCCGCGCTTCGCCCACAAAATACACAGTCAATTCACTTTACAGTGTATCCTGCGAAGCGCTTTGAGACGTCTCGAAGACGTGATAAGGCGCTGTATCAAATGCCAGGGTTATTATTGTTAATATTATTAACACAATGCGCCAGGCTGTGTACTGGGAGAGCGTGACCTCTCTATTCTCCCACATGGTGAGTTCCTGATTATTGCCGTGTTGGTGAGGAGCAAAATGGCAATCAGATCTTCCAAATAAGAAGATGAGATCTGAAAGAAAAAGAGAGAGAGAGAGGAGGGCTGTGGCTGTGTATCTTTTAGCAGTCAGCTATCAACGGAGTTAACATTACCTGCAGAGAGAGCATTCAATATCCAGTCAGTCGCTGCTATCACCAGTTCCTAATCCTGGCAGACAAACCACTATTTCCGGTGCTTAACTGGGTACAAACAGACTCCGGTATGTAACGCGTTACACAGCTATCGTTTCACTCTATCCCATTGTGTCACAGTGTGGTTTAATCCCAGCCCATTCTAGGTTATTCCCGTTTATAATTCAACAACAACAAAGCGACGCAATGGGTCCAGATTCATTCCCCTGAACAACACAAATGGTGCCTTTGGCTATGTTGGCCACAAACAGGATTTGCCTTTATAATTGCCCAATTAATACCTCTCAGTGAGTAAAAAGAGACCAATAATATTACATTTCCACATAAAGGGACTGTTTAATATATTTTTCCTGTTCAGAGGGACAGCTCTAGTGACTGAAGTTACGCTGTGTACAATGGGACCATCTATAATCACTCTTCCTGTGGTGATCTGTGGTGATTTATTCTGTAAAATTAGGGCCTTCTATATATATTCTCCCTGTGTAACTGCAGCATCTGTAACAACTCTCTGAAATATCTCTCTTGCAGTCTATGTATAAAGCAATCATTATCTTGTAACTCTCTTTATATATCGCTTTTCCAGGGGTAATAATCCTTTAAAAAAAATCATAAAACTTAGTTACTCGCTCCACGACTGTTTGTGGGACGCTGCGGTGAGCAGTCGGCTGCCGCGTTTCGCCCACAAGATATACAATCGATCACTTTATGGTATATTCCGTGAAGCGCTTTGAGACGTCTTCAAGAGGTGACAAGGCGCAATATCAAATGCAAGGGTTATTATTATTATTATTATTACGATTATATGACAATCCTCAATGTTACCTCGTACCCTTGCGTTCCTTTGCATAGGACACATACAAACTTGCATTCAGATCAAGAAACAAAACCGGTTATCGAGTCCGCAGTGTATCTAAACGTTCTTGAAAATCAATTTGCAAGATTATGAAATGTATTTTTAGGCTCCGGGAAATAAATTCCCACCATACAAATCCGTGGAGACACAACTTCAGTGAGTCAGCAGTAAACATATTGAACAGATGGAAGCAGAAAGTGTCGTTGGTTTCAAGAATAAATTTGATCGATTCTGCTAGAAAATAGTATCCGGGGCTACAGTAATGTATATAGTTTGGGACACGACATGTCAAGCAACTGCCAGGATGGTGGAAGGTGAACCAGATGGACCTTGATCTTCTCTCGCCAGCAAACTCATACGTTCCTAAGTTATTGTACAAGATGTTGACAGAGTTGACAGAAAGGGAAAAGGGAACAGTGTTGAAGAAGTCACACCTTTAGCTGAGAGCTGACAAAAGCACAACAGCACAATCGCAAACCACTGGAGCGAAAAAAAATCTGCTTTCATTAAAAGGAAAGCAACTGTGTCAGATAGCAATGTGCCAAAAGGACAGAAAATTAACATGAGGAGAAGAGAACATTAATTCAGCCGCGTGAAATACAAACCTCTAATCTCCTCTCACCTCAACGCTTTGGTGAGTATCATATTATTTGTCAAAGCCACAGGTTATTGTTTGATATTTATACTGTATTGGTAATTGATAGATATTTATGAGGTCAGGGGATCAGGGTATCAAGGGATACGGGGCGAGGGCAGGTCATTGGAATTAAGGTACAGATCAGCCATGATCTTATGAATAGCAGAACAGGCCTGAGGGGCTGAATGGCCTGCTCCTGTCCCTATGTTCCTGGTTTATTGAGCCAGCTATTAGCATCCTACAATATAAAAGATTGTGTTGAAATAGCACATTTACAAATCCTTTCAAGCTTTGAGTTCCCGATCCACTGTCAGTTTCTTGCTCATGAATTTAACACCAGTCGTGTTTGATGAACAAAATTCTTGCCAAGTGCTTTTGTGAGAAAGTTTTCGGTAAATGCCGTCATGAATTAAACAAAAATCTTTCCCTCATTTCTCCACAGGGGATTGTTCCCATCCTTTGGGAGGCTAAACACAGTTGGATCCCATCATGCTCTCAAAGGAGAACATGCCACGTGATCACGAAGGAACTCCAATGGCTGAAGAAAGCATTGAAGTCTTTTTGAGCAACACATCTCCGAGTGTAGGTCGGGTGGTGGGAGACAGTCTCATATAAGGGGCAAAACCTTAGTCAAGTTTCCACCCGAAGAAACATCCCAACACTGACTACAAGTGTGTGGCAAAGCCTAGACACGGAAATGTTCAATAAGTTATAAAACATAATCAAAAATATAATCAATTTCTGTTGAATAAAGAATACAAGCAATGGAAGAGTTTACTGCGATTGAAGTGGAGCTAAACTCAGAACACATCTGCGGAGGCAATACTTCAGTGAACATATGGAACAGGCTCCTGAGGGAGGGAGACGGCGGAAGCAGAAAGTTTATAGTGCACAGTGTATCACAAAATGCACAGTCACTTTGCTTTATGGTGTATCCTGTGAAGCGCTTTGAGACGTCTCGAAGACGTGATGAGGCGCTGTATCTATTGCAAGGATTGTTATTATTCCTATTATCATTAAAAACACAACCTACTACAGTATGATACAATACACGTACACTATGAAATCCAGTCGCTGGTAGCTCTGTGTACACCTGTCTTGAGACGTACACCAGCCTACCAGCCAAGTGGATCCTTAAGGAGTGCAGTGCGGTAACTCATTTATTGCTCAATTGAATTATTTTTATGTCCCACAGTGCCAAAACTCTACCAGACAAGGTAATAAAAAAACGCTTAAAGGGTCAGGCAACATGCCAAGCATTTCTCTGACTTCAGATCAAGGTTTGTTAAGTTAGAATTAAGTCAGGGTAAGCCGCACAACCCGTTTTGTCTGGGTCTAAAGCTCCAGCCTGTTATGCCTCTTCGTCTTTCATAAAAATAATAATAACCTTTGCGTTTGATACGGCGCCTGATCACATCTTCGAGACGTCTCAAAGCGCTTCACAGAATAGACCGTAAAGTGAATTGACTGTATATTTTGTGGGCGAAACGCGGCAGCCAATGGCGCACAGCAGCGTCCCCACAAACAGCCGTGGGTACGGCGCTATATCAAATGAAAGTATTATTATTATTATTATTATTATTAACGGTGCACATAGCCACAGACCCAGAGCACCCACCGCTTGACTTACTTTAAAGTAAGCTCAATGAAAGCGCTCGGCTCAATATGTCATGTGTTCATAAAAGATATAGTTCTTTGTCAAAACCGCAGCCTTTTAAAACGGGAAAATCTTCACAATCTGCCCCAGGCGCGAGCTTCCTGATGAGAGATTTGATCGTGAACTGTAAAGGATTTTGAGAGCAGGAGACAGAATATTTCTAGGTCCTGAAATTTGAGCAGTTTGCGTGCAAAGACTTAAGTGAAAGAGACAGACTGAAACCGAGACAAACAGTGGAAAATAAAAGACAGATGAATGCGAACTGTTTCTTTGTCGCACTGTGGGATAATGTGTGATTCTCATATGTTTCATAGCATATGTATATATAAAAAATAATAATATTAATAATCACTCAATCCATCACTGTTCGTGGGACACTGCTATCCACAATTTGCTGCTGCGTTTCACCCATAAAATATACAGTCAATTCACTTTACATATATGTGAAGAGCTTTAAGACATCTCGAACATGTGATAAGATGCTGAATCGAATGCAAGGATTATTATTATTATTATTGTTGTTATTATTACAGCGAGAGTCACTAACGCATTGGTATCTCTACTCCTGCAGCATTAATTGTGAACCGCATGGCCAAACACACCACTTAGTGCAACGGGTGATTTGTAGTTAAAAATACATCTTAAAAAAAGCTGAAGGTAAGGGAAGTGTGAAATGTTTGTGCAGTTCTGTGCACTGAAGCTACTTCCACGAGTCATCCCGAAATGAGATTCTTTGGCCCCACGTCTCCATGGTAACCTTCACTAACTCCATCTCTCGATCGCAGAGGTTCTAATTGACTATCCATCTGCTTTCCCTGCCGTTAGTTTGCTGTTTCTCACTGAAGGTCGACAAGACTCTATTTGGCATTTCGCTCTTGACTACATCTTTATGAAGCTCCTCGGCAAAGCATTCAAACTCAGGCAACCGCTGAAAAATCTCTTTCCTTTCTGCCTTGGAGTTTGGGGGTTCTTTGGCTTTCAACATCTCTGTCCAACTCCCGGCTCTTGCTTTGTGAACGTTGGTTCCCACAAATGCAGATTTAGTCTCTGCTTGACTCTCTGGTCTGGTTTATTGTGGAAATTAACTTGAATTATTTTTAGTGTTGACGTGTGGGACTTGGATTTCCCTTGTTTTCCACCAGCGGAATTGGGAATACTTTACTGGAAATTTGCCGGCAAGGAAATAGTACTCGGGATCTACTTATTGAACAGCTGTTGACACAATCTCAGTGTGTGGGGAGGTAACTCGAAGGAATGTTTTATGTTTTTATGTTGCAGACCTGAGACAGGCGTCGTGAGTAAGTGTGTGATAAGTTGTTCGATCATAAGGTGTGTTAATTTACAGCCTATCCTGTGAAGCGCTTTGAGATGTCTCAAAGACATGATAAGGCGCTGTATCAAATGCAAAGATTGTTATTATTGTTATGATTATTATTAATGTTGTTATTATTATTATTATTAATGTTCTTCTTGACTCTGCTGATTGTTCCCAGGTGGCCAACTTGCTTCGCCTGTTCCAGATTCCCCAGATAAGCTACGCCTCCACCAGCGCCAAGCTGAGCGACAAATCACGTTACGATTACTTTGCTCGGACTGTCCCTCCGGATTTCTACCAGGCCAAAGCCATGTCTGACATCCTGCGTTTCTTCAACTGGACGTACGTCTCCACGGTGGCGTCAGAGGGCGATTACGGGGAGACCGGCATCGAAGCCTTCGAATACGAGGCTCGATCGAGAAACATCTGCATCGCCACCTCCGAGAAAGTGGGACGCTCCATGAACAAAAAGACCTACGATGCGGTCATCAGGGCCTTGATGCAGAAACCCAACGCCAAGGTCGTGGTCTTGTTCACCAAGAGCGAGGACGCTCGCGAGCTGCTGGCCGCCTCTCACCGGCTCAACGCCTCCTTCCTGTGGGTGGCCAGCGACGGCTGGGGAGCCCTGGAGAACGTGGTCAAAGGCAACGAGCGGGTAGCAGAAGGTGCGTTGACTATCGAGCTGTCGGCCTACCCCATCAGGGAGTTCGCCAGGTATTTTGTTAACCTGGAGCCGTACAACAACAGCAGGAACTCGTGGTTTCGGGAGTTTTGGGAGCAGAGGTTCCACTGCAGCCTCCAAACCCTGCGCTGCGAGAGGTACTCTCTGAAGAAAGGCAAGTTCGAGCAGGAGTCAAAGATCATGTTTGTGGTCAATGCCGTCTACGCCATGGCTCACGCCTTGCACAACATGCAAAGGGCCCTGTGTCCCAACACGACCAAGATCTGTGAGAACATGAGGCCGGTGAATGGGAAGAAGTTTTACAAGGACTACATCCTAAAGGTTCAGTTTGATGGTAAGTCCTTTCAGTCGCTTCATGTTTAACAAGTGCCTTTCCTTCTCAGAGACTCGGCTAAGATCGAGCTTAGCTAAGACTCATTCTCTGTTTGTAAACTCAACAGTTCTTGAGGATCTGATACAGCATAGTACAATCTGGTATCAAATAATCTATAAACTCTCCAGTTATGTAATAATCTGTATCATTTTCAATTGGAGACTAGATTACAGAGTCTCCTGTATAATAATAAGCTGCAGAACTACTGTCCAAAAATATGTTACGAAGATAACATAAGGATTTGCTGGTGAAAGAAAACCAAGGTCCATCTGGTTAACCTTCCACCCTCCTGGCAGTCGCTTGACATGTCGTGTTCCCAAACTATACACCGTGTTTCCCAGGATGTTATTTTCGAGCAGAAATCTATCTTGTTTGTTCTTGAAACAAGCAACACTTTCTGCTGCCACCGTCTGTCTCTCTAAGTTTACTCCTCGCTCGCTGAAGGAGTGTTTTCAAATAAGTAATAATTAATAGAACTTTCTAACATTTATTCCAGTTATGGAACTCCTCAGTGAGTAATAAACCAGGGACCTATTCAGTGTGTAATGAACACATTAACCATCGGGTAATAAATTAGGATTCTCTTTGATGTGTAATAAAATGCAGAGGTCCCCACTCAAATGCGCCACTCTGGCTCTATCAGAAAGCAACGAGACATTCCTCCCCTGTACACTTTTCTACTCTTTTTGTAAACCCTTCTTTACTGGGGGGGGGTTGCGGTTTGCACGTTTCAACAGCTTTAGTCAGATCATTCAAATTCCTTCAAAAAAAATAATAATTTGGTCACTCATTCCACGGCTGTTTGTGGGACGCTGCTGTGCGCAATCGGCTGCCGAGTTTCGCCCACAAAATATACGGTCAATTCACTTTACAGTGTATCCCGTGAAGCGCTTTGAGACGTCTCGAAGACGTGATGAGGCGCTGTGTCAAATGCCAGGATTATTATTATTATTATTATCATTGAGTTCTGGCTCAAATGTCACCCTGTTTGTATTTGAGAGTCCATGTTGAAAATGTCTTTCCTGTTTCTTTTTTGTCTCCCTCCCCTTCCCTCCCTCCCTCTCTCCCCTCCCCTTCTCTTCCTCAGCTCCGTTCAGACCGCAAGACACATCCAGTGAAGTCCGATTCGACAAGTACGGCGACGGGATCGGCCACTACAACATCTTCAACTTCCAGTCGGTGAACGGCAAGTTCAGCTACCGGAAGGTGGGCTACTGGGGGGAAGACCTGACCCTGAGCACGGACTTCATTCCCTGGGCCAAATCCTCCACGCCCACCTCCCAGTGCAGCGACCCCTGCGCCAAGAACGAGGCGAAGAGCATGCAACCGGGTGACGTGTGCTGCTGGATCTGCATCGCTTGCCAACCCTACGAGTTTCTGATCGACGAGTTCACGTGCTCGGACTGTGGACGCGGGCGGTGGCCGAACCCGGAGCTGAGTGGCTGCTACGATCTCCCCGAGGAGTACATCAAGTGGGAGGACGCTTGGGCCATCGGGCCCATCACCATCTCCTGCCTGGGCATCCTCTGCACCCTCTGCGTGTTCGGTCTCTTCATCAAAAACAACGACACGCCGGTGGTGAAGGCCTCGGGCCGGGAGCTTTGCTACATCCTCCTGATCGGGGTCCTGCTGTGCTACAGCATGACGCTGATCTTCATTGGCAAGCCCTCCGCCGTGGTCTGCACCCTGAGGCGCCTGGGCCTGGGCTCATCCTTTGCGGTCTGTTACTCCGCGCTCCTCACCAAGACCAACCGCATCGCCAGAATCTTCAACGGCGTCAACGACGGGACCCAGAGGCCCCGGTTCATCAGCCCGACCTCCCAAGTGGTGATCTGCCTGGCGCTGATCTCCTGCCAGCTCATCATCGTGATCGTCTGGCTGCTGGTGGAGACTCCGGGCTCCAGGAAGGAGACAACACCCGACAAGAGAGATATCGTCACGCTGAAATGTAACACCAAGGAATCCAGCATGCTCGTCTCGCTCACCTACAACGTGGTCCTGATTGTCCTCTGCACCGTCTACGCCTTCAAGACAAGGAAGTGCCCTGAGAACTTCAACGAAGCCAAGTTTATCGGGTTCACCATGTACACCACGTGTATTATCTGGCTGGCCTTCCTGCCAATCTTCTACGTCACCTCCAGTGACTACAGGGTAAGCGATAGTCGAGGGACATGTATTCGTCGGTGGCGAAACGTAAACCGCTACAACCCGCCCTCGACTCTGTACAATCATCCGCGGTCACAGCGGTGGGAGAGCTCCCTGCTCTGCAAAATATTTCACAGGGTCTTTGACGCTCAACTAAGATATCACATGAGACTTCGGTTTAATGTGGAGTCCTGTAGCTCAGTGGTTAGAGCCCTCGCCTCACAAGCGAGAGGACCCGGGTTCGATTCCCAGGCAGGACAGGGCGAAACGTTAGGCACACACACACACACACGCTTCTGTTTACCGGCAGTCAGTAGGAACCCGGTTGTTAGTCAATTGGCGGATCGCTCTTCCAGGGTTAATAATTCCTTAAAAACAGACGTGCGAATGATTATAGAAGAGAGGGAGGGGGTGGGGGAGGGGGGGGAGGCTGAGAGATGTCGGGAGCCGTGGTTAAGGAATTCAATAGCTTGTCTTACCGACCGCAAAACCAACCTCAAAACAATACGAAGCCTATATTGAGTTAAACCAATCCAACGTTAAATGCTGCCATTAATCTTCTTCTTAGATTTTCATGATTGTAAATAATACATTATTTTTTACTGCACTCGGGTTCATTTTAAGACTATTGAATAATAGATGGCAGCGGATCAGAAATTATACTTCTGTGTATTAATATGTGACTAACCACAGAGTAGAGTCAGGGAGATGTTTCTGTATTATGTATGTCTGGGTAACTACAGCAGGACTTTGGTGTTCATTTTATGGCAGCACCAATCCCTTTTATTTATAGTGAGTCTAAGCATTGATTTTCTCTTCCCCTTATAGCCTAATATTATTAGCAGTAATAATCCTGGCATTCGATACAGCGCCTCATCACGTCTTCTAGACGTCTCAAAGCGCTTCACAGAATACAATGTAAAGTGCAGTGACTGTATATTTTGTGGGCAAAATGCAGCAGCCAATCGCACTCCGCAGCGTCTCCACAAATAGCCGTGGATTGAGTGACCAATTTTTTTAGAAGGGATTATTAACCCCCCCACCCCCCCACCCCACCCACCGCCGAAATTTCGATTTCTGCTAAGTAAACAGCGGCGTGTGTGTGGAGTAAGGAAACTTGTCTAAGATACATAAGGTGACCCACTATCTAATTTCCCTGGGCTCAGAGGATGAAATTATCCATTATATGGCTGTGAGCTGTGAATGATGCAACACCTTGCTGACGTGCACTGAGGGGAAGACTTGAAATCAGTCACGGTCCAAGCAGAAATGTAGTGAAAGTGTCACCATCTGGAGTGTAGGAAATGAATTGCATCCAAACCATCCGTTTGGAGAGATTCGGAGACACTGCTGCCGCTTGTTCCAATCTTTGCTCGGTCACACTGAACTCCTGGGCGGCAATCCGACAAGTAAAAATGAAACCCATTTCACCGAACGCTTAGTGTTTTTTTAATAGCTGACTAAATAAGGGTAAATTTAGAGTGCAAAATAATAATAATAATTTGGTCACTTCAATCCGCGGCTCTTCGTGGGGACGCTGCTGTGCGCAATTGGCTGCTGCGGTTCGCCCACAAAATATACAGTCAATTCACTTTACAGTGTATCCTGTGAAGCGCTTTGAGACGTCTCGAGGACGTGATAAGACGCTGTGTCAAATGCCAGGATTGTTATTATTAAATAATTTGACAGCATCAATGAGCCTTATTTTGAGCGACTTATTTCTTATTGTGTATTAAGAACAAGATCACAGCCTGTAGTGTAATCAGGTTTGACGTTCTCTCTCTCACTCTCTCTATCTCTCTCTCGCTTTCTCTCTCTCTCCCTCCACAGGTTCAAACCACCACCATGTGTATCTCTGTCAGTCTGAGTGGTACTGTGGTTCTGGGCTGTCTGTTTGCTCCCAAAATACACATCATTCTCTTCCAACCCCAGAAAAACGTGGTCAGTCACCGAGTGGCAACCAATCGCTTCAATACAACTCAATCAGGAACCATTCAATCTCACGGTTAGTATCCATCTTTGCGACCTGATCACTCCCTCAGTGACCATCACTTCCGTGTGACCTGTTCACTCCCACAGTGACTGTAATAAAAATAATAACCCTTGCATTCGATCTAGCGCTTAACACGTCTCGAGACGTCTCAAAGCTCTTCACAGAATTTTACCGGGACATGAGTGACTGTATTTTGTAGACAAACGTGGCAGTCAATTTGGGGCACAGCAAAGTCCCACAGACAGCCATGAAGTGAACAATCAGTTATGGATGGAGTATGTTTGTCTTGATCACCAACTCCCCCCCTCGCCCCCTCCCTCCCTCTCTCACATGTATCTCCAATGTATCAGCCTGGCTCAGTTGGTAGCAGTCTTGCCTTGTCTCTGAGACAGGAGATTGTGGTTTCAAGCACCATTCTGCGTTCGTTGGAAATGGCGTCTTTTGGCTAAGACGTTAAACTTACAACCCCGTCTGTCTGCCTGCCTGCCTGTCAATGTGGCTTGTTAAAGATCCAATGGCACTGCTTGGAAAGATGAAGCAGAAAGGGCCAACAATCCCCCCAATAAAACTACCCATTCACTTCATAGCTGTTACGTGGAATATTACTATAGATTGGCTGCCTTTGCCTACAAAATACATGGTTACTAGATTCTACAGTAAATCCTGTGAAGTGCTTTGAGATGTTTCAATGATGTGAAAAGGCGCTATGTTAAATGCAGGTGTTATAATAATAATTATTATCTATTTAGTGTGACCTGATCACTCACAGAGTATCGCTTCAGTGTGATCTGATCACTCACAGAGTGGGTATCTCTTCAGTGTGGGAGATGGACTATAATGAAAGGCCCATCAATTTCCTCTTACTGCTATTCCTCACCTCGATGAACATAATTGCCAATAAAAATATACTGGTGAGCGACAACTATACGCTTTCTCTACCTCACTTATCTTTGTTGGTGAACGGCCTACACAATCGTGCAGTTGCCACAAAGGAAGAGTGACAATAGAAAAAACTGATGGTGAAATAATGTGTTTTGGTGCTTCAATTCCCTGTACCCTGGTGTGGCCGGAGGCTTTACTTGTATTCATCAATCACGTGTATTCATAGGTAGCGGGTCGCAGAGGGAGCCTGACGTATCTAATCAGATGGAGGTCTAATTTAATAATAATAATAATAATCTTTGCATTTGGTATAGCGCCTGATCACGTCTCCGAGACGTCCCAAAGCCCTTCACAGAATATACTGCAAAGTGAATTGACTGTATATTTTGTGGGCGAAACGCGGCAGCCGATTGCGCACGGCGGCGTCCCCACAAACAGCCGCGGGTTGAGTGACCAAATTATTAAAATTATTTATTTAGTTTTCACCCCAAAGTGCGTCTCTAACCAACCAAATAAGAGCAGGATTGGCAGAAACGCTTTCTAATGGACAACAGGTTGTGTTCAGTGTTCTATGTTCCTGAAAGCAGGGTGGCTTATTGAATCTGTCGTTCTGTCTTTTAGCTTCTGCTGTGCACTATGTGCCAACAGTTTGCAATGGACGAGAGATCGTAGACTCCACAACATCATCATTATGAGTATTATAAGGACGCCTGCCACATACACCCACCCACCCGCCCATCCTCCCCCTTCTATTCTCTGGAGAAATGTATATTTTCTTCAAAGATATCTAAAGCGAAAGCACTCGTTATCATGTTATATGTATAAAAGTTTTTAACCAGGTAGACTTTTTGTGAATTGGTATGTGTGCTGCTGTAATTTTTGTAAATAAAAGTGTTTTATATGAATATATTGTAACCTGGGTTTGCTGGTCTTTGGAAAAATGCATTTAGAAAAGGACAGATTTGTGCCGTCTCTGCAGTCACTGGGACGCAAGTTTAAAGCCAATCCCATCAGAATGGCTTTACTTTTAAGTCTCGACAGCAAATGGGTTTATTATACGAAGCCCGTTGGCGGAATGTCATAATCTGCAATTTTCAAGTCTTATTGGCAAACAGTTACTGTAAGTAATAAAATCCGAAGTGTCTGGGAAACACTCAGCAGATCAGATCGGGCAGCATCTACGGAGAGAGGAAAGTGAGTCAGTGTTTCAGGCCGATGACCTTTCGTCAGAACTTACAAAAAAAACAATAAACGGTCATCGACCCGAAACATTAACTCGCTTTCCTCTCTCCGTAGATGCTGCCTGACCTGCTGAGTGTTCCCAGCCACTTGCTTTTATTTCAGATTTCCAGCATCTGCAGTATTTTGCCTTTTAGTTACTGTAAGAAGTTCATCTGGTTTTATTTTCTCTCTGGTCGCTGTACGGGTCCCACATTGAATAAGTTTGGGCTCATTTTTAACCCAGTTTGGGGGCAGAATCCAGGAAGTGTGTTGGTGTCAGAGAATTTCTCTGCTTGCCTTCCCTCCCTACTGCCACGTATATGGAGCTGCGGAGTGAGCAGAAGTAGACGGTGGAACATTGTCCGTCCGTTACGGAGAGAGAATGCGGTTGGGAGCGGTGTGGTGTAGCCAGTAATGTCAAGTTGAATTTCACTTTTGTGCTGACTCTGTCTAAACTTCTGAGGCTCAGCATCGGTACACCTTTGAACCGAGAAACAAAACCAATAAAGATTGATGGACTTGCTTTAACCCAGTGTGCATTTAATCAAATGACTTGTGATTGAGCTCTACTTTGTGTTAATCCAAGGTTTTGAATGTAAAGAGAGACGGAGCGCACAGCTTCCTCTGGACTACTGAGAGCATTCCCAGCAAGGTCTAAATAACTCCACAAGACCCTCAAGCGCAAGGGATTGTCTCAGAATGAGGGATATTTTAAGAACATAAGAATTTGCTCGGCGACGGAAGACCAAGGTTTATCCAGTTCATCTTCCACATAGCACAAACAGAATATTATTCATTAGATATGAGATTCACGTAAATCTCAAGCATAGATGGTGCTACAATGAACTAGCTTCTTCAAACAACTTCATAAAAAAGCAAAGCATGCAAACAAGATAATTGAATGCGATGTGGGTTTTATTAGAAAACACAATTTTATGATAATCCCCATCTTATAGGAAGCTCAAACAGAGAGAAATCACTGACTGGGTGATACGAGAAACGATGTGATTTCCTCTGACACTGATAAAGATGGCTGGAAACGACAGGTTCCTGACATTAATGTAAACTTGATGAGAAATAAAGTTCACAACGACAGTCTGGGGACTGTGATACACTGCTCCCAAACACTTAGAAATCACCATTACATTTTCTCCCTCAAATCTTGTAGCTATTCTGTTCATGTTCGCAGTTGGTGTAGTTTGGGGATTTGCACTGCAAACACTCTCTCCAGCGTTTATCTTGTTCAGCTTAACTTCACGGACTCATAACAATAATCCTTGCGTCTGACACAGCGCCTTTTCACATCTTCAAGACGTCTCAAACCGCTTCACAGCACATACTAAAGTGAATTGACTATGTTTTGGGGGCAAAACGTGGCAGCCAATTGCGCACAGCAGCGTCCCACAAGCAGTCGTGGGTTGAGTGACCAAATTAATATTTTTTTTAAACTCAGAAATACCACAGATGGTGATCTGTGCGCTGCCCTCCCAAAATACACAACACGGCAGGATTTTCAATAAACGGACAGTCATCAGGAGGTAGAAAGAAAGGCAAGCTACGGGTTGAAAGGATTTAGAAAGTGTGGAAATGAGTACAATAGAAAGCTTGGACACTGCTGTGAAGTGAACGCAAGCAATTTTTTTTATTGTGTTCTATCCCAAAAAGAGCATCGAAATCCCTGCAGGGGGGAAAGGATTAATTACAAAGGGTTTATTGTTCACACCGCAGTCACTTGCTCTTTGGTGACGTCAGTTTGCTCTTTCTTTCTCAGGGGTATAATATAAATTCCATTCTTGGCCTCTTTGATCCGCCACCAACGGCCTAACCTGTAAATAAACACACGGGACAAACTGTTGGAATAATTTGAGCCAAGTGCAGAATTCTGTACAAATATAACCGACGCTCTCAGACCACAACAGCTGCTGACGTCAATCGAGCGCCTGAATTAAAACGTGTCTCTCAGTTAATCCGCGGCATCCATTATTTATAATACGCGTGAGTCACAACACACGCGCGCACACACATATATGCACACACACACACACACACACACAAGTCGTGCTGAAGTTACATTCGTGCCCAGGAGATGTGAGTGCGATGTCATTAATAACAAAGTCACACCACGCAGCGGATGGACAGTGTCGGTATATTGCGGTTTGAAAGCTCCCGAGACAAATGCACTTGAAAATCGTTTCAACACAAGACCACACAGGCTCCCGAATAAAGCTCACACACACGCACGCACATCAGTGTCCAGCCCCACAAACCCCCCTCTCTCCCCCCTCACACCCCCACTTCACTACATTATAGCGTGGCTGAAAGTTAGCGACGTTCGCTTGTGCAAGCATTTCCAGGAGTGACTGAGACCCCACTGACACCAGAAACCTACTTTGCGCGGAAACCTACCTCACTTTCGTGAACCAAAGGGGTTCATTCAATCAGACTGAACAGTCTGGCTGAGCAATTTGCAGTGAAGTGGAATGAGTGAAAATTACAGGATAACCGGGTGACTATTCAAGCGAATAACTCTATACCTCCTCACTGAGTCAAGGACAACAGCTGCAAGGCCACAGATCATGTTACATCCTCTCTATCACTCCATCCATTTAACCACCAATAAAAAAAACATACATCTGGCATAAGCAAACTCGCAGACATTTACAATTCCCAGTGGCCGCCGCAGCAAGCAGTCAATGCCTCCTGATTTCACATGATGGCCAATCATCACTTAAACCTTCACTAATCCCAGGTCAGACTATTGTAGGGTGGGTAAAGAATCAATCTCCCGCCACTCAAGTGCCTCAATCTCAATGTCAGAAAAACTACGCCCAACAAAAACAGCAGTTGTGTTTACTCAGCGGGTAGGGCCCCTGAGCCGAGGCAGATGATATTTATTCAGCGGCTTTGTGCTGTGGACCTGCGGCCACTATGAACCGAGGTAAAATCTGCTCAAAATTCATTTCACTGGACTCTGGTAGAAAGCAATCGCCTTCTTTTAAACTTTACAGTGAAACTGAACGTCCTTTTTTTTAAGAATCATAGAATCTTACAGCACAGGAAGAGCCCGTTCTGCCCCTCGTGCCTGTGCTTGGAAAGAGATACCAACTGCAACAGCAAAATTACATTTAGTCCCACTTTTGGTTTCAATACTTTTTTGACAGTGTACATACATTATAACTCTACAACCAGGGAACTGAAATACATTATTTACCAGATAATGCTGAGGAAACCCGAGCTGATTACTGCATAAGTGTTACTTTAGCTCCATTGCACAAGAGTCATCAGTAATTCCTCCGGTGCGGGAATCCAGAATAAGGGGGGGGGTATCATCTTAACATCAGAGCTAAGGCCATTTAGGAGTGAAATCCAGGAGGCAGTTTTTCACCAAAAGGCTAGTGGTCCTGCCCTCCACCCTCCCCGATTCTAACTCCCAGCTCGAGTCCGAAACACTGATCACCTGTTGCCTTCGGACGTCCTCCTGATGTGAAGGGCACTATACACATGTAATTTTGCTGTTGTTGGAAATCTAGGATTCTCTCTCTCCCTCCCCCAAAAGGCTGTTGATTGTGGCTGGATCGAAACGTTCAAGACAGAGGTGGACAGATGTTTGTTATATCAAGATATCAAGCGATACGGGGCAACGACGGGTAATTGGAGTTGGGGTACAGATCAGCCATGATCTAATAGAATGGTGGAACAGGCTCGAGGGGCTGAATAAATTTAATAACTTCAGGTGACACATCCTCTGTGTTCCTATAAATTCCTAAAACAATTCTGACAAAACCTGGTACTCAAGGTTCACATAGACACCGTCAGCCTGCTGGGGAGAGGAGCACTGACGTCAACCTTTGAAGATGTTACTAACAGCAACAGCCAGATCCAAGACGGGAGAGGCAGAATCCGCCGCCATCACATGACATCCATCAAAGATTATTTTTTTAATTTGAAATCATTCTAGATGCTTCATTCAGATAAATACAGAAAATAATCTCTTAACAGGCGACATTCTCACATCTAGGACAACGCAGTCCGTTATATATAGGAACATTTTATTCGCTGAAAAGGGGTGGGGGGGGGTTCATCCGCACATGCCTTGGATCAAATCTTTTTTTTAAATGACAAAACAGATGACTGACACAGAGGATGTGTCACCTGCAGTTATTAAATATACATGCAGTCTAAATTAGCAGCAAACAGCAAGCAGTGACAAATTACCATCAGTATCACACTGCGTGCATTTAAATATTAAATCAGACAACTGTGATTCAAGTGGAGACAAGACATATTCATACTGTATTTTAACTACAATTGTGATTTTGTTCATATTCATGAAATTCACCAGGAGATAGAGATTGTGTATCAAAGAACAGCTCTCTTTGACTTTAAAATATCTTGTTCCTTCCTGACTGTGTGAAAAAGCAGATCTAAAAAAAAATATACAATTCCAGAGCACCTACTGCATTGCAGTCTGTGATCTTACCTGTGTTCCTGCCCCACACCGGATACCAAAAAGTTACCGGAAGTGGAAAACTTCAGACAATTCACAAAACCAGCCTGTGAAGGACAGAAAGGTGATTTTAGTCCAATACAAACTGAATAACAACAACAACAATCCTTGCATTTGATATAGCGCTATTCTCCCAGTATTCTAGTCAACCGATTGATCTGCAACCACCACCTACCAATGTTCAAATCAACATTTTAAAATCTGTCAACCATATGCAACTGCATGCTTTGAAAAGTAATAACCTTCTATATTCACTACAATATGTTAATCTGTCTAACAATCCTTGCATTTGATATAGCGCCTTATCAAGTCTCAAAGCACTTCACAAAATATATTGCAAAGTGTATCGACTATATTTTGTGGATGAACAGAACTCATTGACAAGACACAAAACAGCTGCCATTTCCTGATGTTTAGACAGAGGGAAATATTTTTTGGACGTCAAAATTTCAGTTTATTTACGAGAGAAAGAGGCACACAGGAAGGAGTCCAAGCTTTGCCTTCTTTTCTACATGACTTACAGAGTCTTAACATGAATAAACAAGATGATAAACTGAAGGTTAAAGGTGTTAGGAGGGATTGGCTGTAATCCCCGAATGAATTGTTACGGTCTGGAACACACTGCTTGAAAGGGTGGTGGAAGCAGATTTGATAATAGCTTTCAAAAGGGGAATTAAAGTAAAGTGAATCAACAGTATATTTTGTGGGCGAATTAATGAGGGAAGGAATATAAGCTTTAATTAAATGAAACAGTGCTCAGGTTCCAAGGTGGATGGGAGGCTGGAAGAGAGAGAGAGAGAGAGGATAAAGTGAAAGAACACTGGACACTCAATCAAATTAGCTGCAGGAAAACCTTCCAGTACACAACACACACAGTGACGGAATACAATATTACTATATATTTATTTTATAATAAGGCAATTACCAGCCACTTGCCTTCTCAAAACTATCTGTACTTGTAGAATGTCTTGTTAAAAGCAAGAGAGAGCTTGTTTTTCCACTCAATTTAGAACACTTCAGGCAGAGGGATGCATTTCTCATGCGTTCACGGTTGTTCTATTTATGAGAACTTTTGCCGATGGCGGAATTTAACACAGGGAAGTTGGGCTGATGTGAACCTACGCTGAGATCAGAATTAAGCAGTAAAAGCCAGATTTCCAAAATTAGCTTGACACAGATGTTTCCCCAGACAATTTTCTCCCTTTCCTGAAGGCCTTGAAGTCTATTCCACTGGGATCGGTTGTTCCATATTACCCCTTGTTCCATTTGTAAAGCAATCATTATTCACACATAGGCTATGGAGCATAACTGAACCAAATCCAATCCTACTTTCACCCAGAGTCCAAACACAAACACCTTCAGTAAGCATCGTTAGAAGATTAGGAGCAACAACACTGGCTGATTTTCTATCTCAAGGAATTGTTGTGAATTAGAGACCACTACTGTCACCATAGAGGAGATCAACGGATTCAACACATCCCAGCAAACTAGTACATTCATCGTTTGCGCGGTTCAGCTACTCACTGACTAAGCTTCCTGAACCAACAGGACAGCTTCTTCACACTAATTTAGCAAAGGCCTGGGGCGTGTGCTTCCCTCACCAGTTTGCATTATTCTGTGCCAGAAACTTGGCAAACGATACTCTTGAGAGACTGTAACTGTAACGTGACGTTAAATTACAGCTAATTTACAATGTAGATGATTGTCAAAAAAACACTGCATCGTGTACATACTTCCAAGCCCAATAATAGGGAGGACGAGTCATTTTAAGATGCCGGAGGAACATTCCAGATTTCTCCAGCAATAACACAGCGTGTTTTCAAATATGAGCACATCTGCTGCCATGTACACCACTCACATCATATATATATATATATACATATATATACACAGAACCTGACAGACACAGACAAGTCGTGGTGTAAGAAACTGCTATAATGATGACTGCTGACCTGAGAAATATTAATAGCTGTTCTGTAACTGAAGTGAGCAGCGTTCATTACAGCATCTGGTTGATTATAGCTCTGCATCTGGTTAGCCGATGAGACTAAGTGACTCATGAATATAAAGTGTTTACAAATGTAAGTGTGACTTGGAATTACAAAGTACTTACCCTGGATCCTAATAAGCATGTTATCTGCACAGGCAGCCTGGCAGAACAATGAAAGGACTATTGGATGCTTTGAGGAACGTAGTTATTGTAGTTCAGTTCTACAAGGTACAACGCTTCTCGAAGCCTAAAAATACAGATTGAGCTCTTCCTTTGAAGTAAGTTGATGTCAATGTTCGGGACCGTGATCTAGATGAGCAACAGGACATTTTCACAGCAATGGAGTTGACCTTTATCTCGAGACACGTGTACTTAATTTCTAAATAGCTAAACTGGTAATGACTGTTCACACTCAAACAAACCTATCATCCTCTAACTCTTCTCTTACCATTGGGATGTCAAACAGAGGCTCCAATTTCTTAAATCCGGCCCCACACTTCCAGAGTCTGATCCTCGAATCATGGGAACCTGAAATACAGAATTAATAATAATAATAATCCTTACATTTGATACAGCGTCTTATCACATCTTCGGGACGTCGCAAAGCGCTTCACAGGATTGTAAAGTGAATTGTGTATATTTTGTGGGCGAAACACAGCAGCCAATTGCTTTTTTTTTTAAAAAAAGGGATTATTACCCCCAGAAAAGCGATCCGCCAATCGACCAACAAGCAGGTTCCCGCTTACTGCTGGTAAACAGAGGCATGTGGGTGGAGTAAGGAAACTTGCCCAACATTTACCTGAAGCTACCAAATCACTGTTTAGCAGTGCGGCCACTGAGGAAATCCAATATGGCTGCTCCATCCCTGAGGCACCATGGATACCATGGGCTTTCCTTACAGTCATCAGGGGCTTCTTCTTAGTGACTGTCCAGAGAGCAAGGGAACTGAAAAACATTGGTTCAGTCTTAACATTTAATAGCTCCAGCTCTTAGTCACAGGAGAGGTCTCTTACATTAAAAATTAGGCGCGGTATCGAAATTTGCGCTTACGCAGCACCCCTCATGCAAGGTAGAGTCCCAGAGGACGTGACATTGGCAGAGCATGAGGCCAAGCCAGGGGGGAAGGGGGGTGACCACTTCACCAGTGCCTGTGGTCACCTGAGAGTCGCACCTTCGCACCTGAAGATGCGGAAGGAAAGGGCGAGTTGGAGGGATAGAGGGAGAACATTCAAGCGCGGCCACCGATGGAGGGCACGAGGCACGTGCAGGGGGCTGGAGCCATTCGAGGGGAGGCAGCAGGTAGTGGGTTGGGGAGTAAAGCAGGTCGGAGAGCTTAAGATAAAACTTAAAAGACACTCAAGGCAATAAACATACCCATCGTCACCTCCAGAAAGCATGTACTCTTCATTTATCAGCTGTATGCAGTCAACTGAACTCCTGTGGAGCAAACAGAAGACTGTGTGTGTCAGTGCATTGCTGAATGAGCAGAAAAGTGATCAGGGAACTGAAAGTTAACAAGGTTCCTCGAGGGGAAACACAGCATCCATTATTGCCGGATAATCAAACTGACCCACTTACAAATTTGGGCAATTTCACACGCTGACAGATAAATAAATCATTCCTAACCGTGTTGATGTATAGAATTTGAGTGAAAAATAAACACACACACAAAAAAAAAATGAAATTGCACCATTGCGTCCTGGTCATCCAAATAATAATCCTTGCATTTGCTACAGTGCCTTATCACGTCGTCGAGACATCTCAAAACGCTTCACAGAATATACTGTAAAGTGTAGAGATTGTGAATTTTGTGAGCAAAACGCGGCAGCAGTGTCCCACAAACAGCCCGTGGAACGAGTTCCCAAATTATTAATTTATTAAAACTAGTTTTGAGAGAAAACGCTAGTTATTTACTGATTAACAAGATCCAAGATTAAAACACAAATTAAACCACAAAGGTAATATAATTCCTCCCTCTTCTTTTAAAAAAAAGTAAGGGTGCCAAACTCTCTCAAAATATATTTGTCGTCAACAGTAATTTCTTCCTGTTGTACAATGAGGAGTGGGCGAGTGAAATCTTCACAGCCGCACCGAAGATTAATTTCCTTTTGGTTTCTTTACTTGGAATATCCTCCTCACTGAAAGCACGCAACGGTTTCAAAAGTAATAAAAGGGCGAGGCAGAGATGTCTAGCACCACTTCTCACCCACCTCCTGAGCACTTGAGAATTTAAGCGTTTCTAATTAGCGGTGGTGTGTAGCTGAGACGGGTGGGTACAGAGGTGAACAGGGAGCTGTGAAATCTCATTTCCACCGATGTTGAGAGTTGGGTTAAAGCAACATGAGCAAGTGAGAATAGACGACAGTGCACACCTGCACCTCAATCTTTCCGTTCTCTTTCAGACAATCTCACCTGCTCCCACAATATCTCTCACTAGCTCTGAAATAAGCAACTGTGGTGACAAATAACCCATTGAGTACTGAATGTTCTTAGTCAGCAGCCTTCAGTTAGAGACGATCATTCTGACAAGCATTTGGATACCTCAGCGGTCATGTTAAAGGGGGCATCTACATTTTACAACAACAACGTGCATTTACACAGAGTCCTTCACGCAGGGTAGCGTCCCAGAGCACTTGACAAAAGGTCTTCAGGCGCAATCTGAAGATGGGGAAGAGGCAAGGTGGAGGGATAGAGGACAGTAGAATATTATATATCCAAACCATTAAACACCAGGATAGAAGTGATTAGGAAACAAGGTTTTTTTGGTATGTGAACATATTCAATTTCCCCAAATAAACAGTGTGAAAAAACGCTCATACTTAATGACTTCTTAAAAATTAGTTGCTAAGGAAACACTCCGACATCGGAACACCGAGAATCATCAAGAACAGGAGGAAAAAAGCTAATGGGTTCAACAAAGATCGCTTTTGTAGGGGTAATAATCCCTTTGGGAACTGAAAAAATGTAAGAAAGGTAAAAAAATATATTTGTCTCCTTTCTAAGTCTACTTTAAACATTGTTATGACTGATCCTCAATTCAATCTGAACATGAGACTCACGTCTTCAGAAAGAAAAGTGCAAGATACGGAATTTACACCTCAGACTTGTGATGTCAGGTGTGAAATGGAAACCTTCTGATCGATAAAGAAAGACAACTATTCTCCAAGGTGAGAATGGAAGCTGGGACAATTCAATCTATAAATTCCCAGAAGTCAAAATTGTCGTGAAGGTAGAATTCACACAGGATGTGGAGTGTAATGACTATTATTAGGGGGGGGGGTGGGGGGGGGGGGTGGGAGGGTGAAAAGGAAAATGTAGGATGTAATTCACATGGTCCATTTGGACAAAACTTTATCCTGTCTTGGAGACGTCTCAAAGCTCTTCACAGAGTATACTGCAAAGTGTAGTGACTGTGTATTTTGTGGGCGAAACGAGGCAGACAATTGTTTGCTTTCAATGTCCGTTTCTTTGGTTGTTGCGCTCTTTGCATGTCTGTGCGAGTGTGTGTGCGTGCGTGCGTGTCTGTGCGAGTGTGTGTGTGCGTCTGTGCGAGTGTGTGTGTGCGTCTGTGCGAGTGTGTGTGTGCGTCTGTGCGAGTGTGTGCGTGCAAGTGTGTGCGCGCGAGTGTGTGTGTCTGTGCGAGTATCTGTCTGTGCGAGTGCATCTGTGCGAGTGTGCATGCGAGTGTGTATAAATAATTTCTGCTACTCACTCGTGACCATAGAACAGCAGCTGTGACTCCTCTGTGATTTTCCAGACACGCACAGTGCGGTCCCTGCCCCCAGCTGTCACACAGCATTCTCTGCTCAGGCAGTCCAGCCCCGTGATAACATCCTGGTGACCGAATCTGTTTTATGCACAAAAGGAAACCATACATAAATAAAAACTCGGCCAACGACAATGTCAATCGGTCAGCTCGCTCCCTGCGACGACAGAGCACTCTGGGACAGTTTGGAATCAACAACAATCCTCGCATTTGACCCAGTGCCTCATCACGTCTTCAAGACCTCTCAAAGCGCTTCACAGGATAGGCTGTAAAGTGAATCGACTTGGTGTTTTGTGGGTGAAACAAAACGCACGGTCACTACACAACACACAGTCACTATGGGTGAATCAAGCTAAAGGTATAGCCTGTATTTGTGCCAGTAGTGTTTTTTGGTGCAATTTGACAATTAATTTTCCAGTGTTTCTTAAGTACAATGCTGACATCTTGTGGCAGAATGTCAATACAGCAGAGGGGGGGTTTTCCCCCAATGGTCCACTGGACAACGATTAAACACTGATGAAAGAAACAAGAGAGAGAGAGAGAATATGTAGAGCAGAGTTTAAAGGTTTGTCCACTGCATAAACCTTTCCGTGGATTCAAAGGAAATGAAAGACAACGATAGTGGTGTAATGCATTGGTCTTAACACGGCAGCCAATTGCGCACAGCTGTGTCCCACAAACAGTCGTGGATTGAGTGACCAAATTATTATTATTTTGTTTTTAAAGGGATTATTAACCCCTGGAAAAGCGATCCGCCAATCAGCTAACAACCGGGTTCCTACTTGCTGCTGGTAATCAGAGACGTGTAGAGTAAGGAAACTTGCCCAACGTTTCGCCCTGTCCTGCCCGGGAATCCAACCCAGGTCCTCTCGTTTGCGAGGCGAGGGCACTAACCACTGAGCTACAGGACTGCACAAAGAAGATCTCAAAACCCTGATTGTTTAAACTCAGTTAAAGCCCAGAGTGCGGCTCACAGTACTCACAAGGTTTCGACGTAAGCATTCTGGTCAACATTCCACACCTTGACAGAACGGTCGTGCGAGGCGCTATATAACTGATGTGTTCCTTTCCTGAAGGACAAGCCCTGCGGGAAACACAGCCGTTAAAAGAACATCGTGCAAGAGAACAACAACAACAACAAATGACATTTACACGGCGCCTTTCAAGTCAGGAGGACATCCCGAGGCTTCGGACAGTCAGGGATTTGGACCCGAGCAGGTGCTTGGGATCGGGAGGGGGTGGAGAGTGGGGGTGGAGAGTGGGGGTAGGAGGGTGGCCGAAAGCGCGGTCGAAGAGGAGGGTCTTTAGCTGTGCCTTGAAGCAGGCAAGGGAGAGAGCGCGGGGAAGGGACGGTGGGATGGGGTTCCAAAGTGTCGGGGCAGAGAGACTGAAGGTCTGACTGCGGAGAATATCTTAATAGCAAACTTCTAAATACAAGTTAGCAACTGCCAACTGTGCCCACAACCCCCGTCGCCCAGACTCACTGACACAGCATCTTTATGTCCTTTGAAGGTGTAAACATGTTGACAAGTGGCGGGGTCCCAGATCATAATCATCTTGTTCCTATCTCCTGCCGCCTGCCAAGAAAATTCAAGAGTTAATAATAATAATACTGCGCTTCACACCTCTTCCTTCCACCCCAACCTCCAGCTCAGGTCTAAATCTCTAACTGTCCAGCCCCTTGGGACGTCCTCTCGATGTGAAAAGAGCTGTGTAAATGTCATTTGTTATTGTAATAATAATCCTTGCATTTGATACAGCGCCTTATCACATCATTGAGACGTCTCAAAGAGTCTGAACCGAGTAGTACCTGTGATGTGTGACAAGTGCTACCGTCAATCTCAAACTCTGCCCGTTCACACATCTGCTGCTCATGTAAACACGCACTTGCACTAATTGGCTTTGATTAGTTAGAGCTAACAAATAGGGTGTCTGTCTGAACCATTCCAGCAATACTGCTCTTCAACACCATGCTGTTTTCTGGGGGGAGGAGAGGAGTTACTCACCAGGTATTTGCTATCGGATGAGATTGCCATACAGAGGATGTGAGCCGTGTGCCCAACGTGTTTATCTTCTGTTCCTTTCCGGCCGCCCTGGATTGTGTGAAGCTTCTTTCCATTTGCAACGTCCCCTATAGTTAAATATAATAATAATAATCCTTGCATTTGTCACAGCGCCTTATCACGTCTTCGAGACATCTCAAAGTGCTTCACAGAACATACTGTAAAGTGAATTGACTGAATATTTTGTGGGTGAAACGCGGCAGCCAATTGCACACAGGAGTGTCCCACCACAAAGAGTCGTGCATTGAGTGACCAAATTATTGATATTACTTTTTTCCACAAAAGCGCAAAGACACCAAGCCCCTTCCTAGGGGAGATCAAACACCAGAGAAAACCAAAAAAATTCCACAGCCAATTTGAAGGAAACAAAGATTCCTTGAATTCATCACGGATAGAGCAATCTCCAGGAGAGGACGGAGCCACTGCCACCATCATTGCTAAATATCCCCGTTACCCTGTGACTTGGCGGTTGCACAAACTTACACTTAATGATTGAACAGTCTTTGGACCCCGAAAATATGTATTTATCATCTGCAGATATGACCAGACACGTGATTGGAAGTTGGTGACCTTTTAGCAGTCGAATCTCCGACGGGTCAGGGGGTAGATACTGAAACCAGATAAAAATAAAAAAAGGTTTTACACATTCATCGAGGAAATGTCAGACTGCTCTCACAAGTCAGTACAATGTCAGGTAAATAAGAACATAAGAATTTGCTAGGCCAAAGAAAACCAAGGTCCATCTAGTTCGCCTTCCACCATCCTGGCAGTCGCTTGACACATCGTGTCCCCAAACTATACACTGTATCCCCAGATATTATTTTCTAGTAGAAATCTATCTCATTTGTTCGTGAAACAAACAATACTTTCTGCTTCCACCGTCTGTCTCCCGGGGGAGGCTGTTCCATAAGTTTAGACCTCGCTCACTGAAGTATATTGGGCTGTTCAAAGAGAACAGTCATATATAGTACATTCCAAAAGAGTAGGGCTGAGTATTCCACGACTGTGTCTTAATTCCATGCAACAGACGTCGAATATTGTTATGACGTGGGGATGAAACGTGGATTATATCCATTACACAGCAACACTGACAAACAAGGAGAGCAAATATGAAGCCCTCTGGCTTAGCGCCTATAACAGCGAGGAGCATCAACAACAACAACAATACTGAAGAAAAACCTTTCTTTACTTACACCACTGGCGACAAGACGTTTAAGTTTTCCTTTCTGTTCAAGCTGTAACGACAAAGAGGAGTTAGGGCACGAGGGATCTGGCTGGAAAGGTTGGCCATCATCACCATTAGAAAGTGTTCATCGATCCTTGCAGACAGGTTAAATTGATCAAATAACTAAGATTTGACACGGCTGAGCGAGTTGAATGTTTTTTTTTGCTCAGCCCGGTGTCTGACATGTGCGCAATTCAAGAATCTGTGAGGACAAAATTGTTGTTTGATGTGGCACTAAATTGTAGGGACACAAATGTTTCGCTACTTTCTAAGTGTCATCGATTAAACTTATATCAAAAAATATCAAAACTGCTACAGTACATTAGGATTTTACAGAAAACACTGATTTGTTCAAGAATCAACTTGTGAATTGCAATTACAAAACAAGTGTCCTCAATTTAGTCACTTCATCCTTCTGGGAAAGTTCTGACGGGCTGGTCGGTGGTATAACCTAATAAACATTATATAAGACACATCACTTTCTTACCACTTCATCCTCCAGCCTGCCCCCAACCTGGTCACCCTCTAACTGTTCCTCTGCCTTCTCCTCTTCTGCAAGCAAATCAAACAAAAATCAAGCCAGGAGTTCCCAGAGCTGCCCAGTGCAAAGCCAACGTCAATTAAATCCGCACTAATTGGAATTGTTCCTTTAGCAGATAAACAAACAGCAGCTTTCTGTGACATTACTTTTAGGCATCAAGAGCAACCGCATTACAGTAGTAATAATAATCCTGGCATTTGATACAGCGCCTCATCACGTCTTCAAGACGTTCCAAAGCGCTTCATCAAGAGACAGCGGAGCCGAGGTGCGGCCCACTTCACTGACCTGTGCATATTTTGTGGGCGAAACGCGGCGTCCCCACAAACAGCAGTGGATTGAGTGACCAATTTATTACTTGAGGGGATCGTTTCACCCTTACACAATGCCGAAGCAGGGCTGTCATTGTTAGGTGGTGTTTTGTAGCTCAATAAGTTCTTACCCTCCTGCTGGAGTTGTGCCAGGTAGACCTTGGCCAGTCGCAGCTTCTTCTCCTGTACAGTCTCTTCAATTTCATCTTCCTGCTCATCCTTTCTTCTCTTCGCACCACTGTCATCGAAAAAGCATTTTAATAAACATTGCTAAACCGCGTTCAAATACAATGCCATTTACGTTTATACGTAGCACCTTTCACATTAAGGGGGCGTCTCAAAATGCTTTATGCTGGAGTGGGCTCTGGACAGGGACAGAATGGCTGAACGCTTGCTTGCCAAAGGTGGGATAAATACAGCTGTCGACGTGAAGAAGGCCAGTGCTCCCTGAGCAAATATATATATATATATATATATATAGGAACAGGAGGCGGCCATTCAGCCCCTCGAGCCTGTTCCTCAACTCCAATTATCTGCCCTCGGCCCGTATCCCGATACCCTGACCTGACAAACATCTCTCCACCTCAGACTTGAACGGATCCAGCCAGAACCCACAGCCTTTTGGGAAAAAAATCTGGCTAGTTTCTATATAAAAAAAATATTGCACTCGGGCAGGATTCACCTTCCACTGTGGGAACCAATGATTAGTTTCAGGCTAAAAAGTTTGTTCAATCCCCAAAAGTCCGTTTTCAGAACCAGTGGAATCTCGGAAGAAGACCTGAACGATAGACAAAGTGGGTTCCAACATCTGTAATCGGCTTCTTTCTCTCTCCTTGGGAAACCCGTCATTTCCTCTTCAGCGAGAAGGAAAATGCTCACGGGGTCCCTCAAAACATTGCATTTACCCTTCGCAGGCCGACAGTGTAAATGCCGCACAGTTACCTTTCTGTCTCGGAGTCACTGGAAATCTCTTCGTTCAATTTAGCGGTGAATTTCTTGCGGACATTATCTTTTGCATTTCCAGCCTGAGTGGGTGGGTGGGTGGGGGGGAAAGAGGACAAAGTGATTATCAAATGAAACAATATTATGATTGGAAACAAATACCATCGATTTACACACATATATATAGACATAGATAGAGAGAGAAAACACATCCCATGTGTCTCTGGGATTGTTCAGGTGGAGTGGGGGATGTGGGGAAATCTCAGTTGAGTTTGGAGACTATCAGAGCAGGTGATGGGGTTCCCTGTGTGTGGGGGGAGAGGGTGTGTGTGGGTGGTGTGAGGGTGGGTGTGGGGGGAGGGTGGGTGTGGGGGAGGGGGGTGTGTGGGGGAGGGGGGTGTGTGGGGGAGGGGGTGTGTGGGGGAGGGGGGGGTGTGGGGAGGGGGGGGTGTGGGGGGGGAGGGGGTGTGTGGGGAGGGGGTGTGTGGGGAGGGGGTGTGTGGGGGAGCGGGTGTGTGTGGGGGAGGGGGGTGTGGGGGAGGGGGGGTGGGGAGGGGTGTGTGGGTGTGTGGGGAGGGTGTGTGTGTGTGAGGGTGTGTGGGGGAGGGGGGGTGTGGGGGAGGGGGGTGTGTGGGGGAGGGGGTGTGTGTGGGGGAGGGGGGTGTGGGGGAGGGGTGTGTGTGGGGGAGGGGGTGTGTGGGGGTGTGGGGAGGGGGGGTGGGGAGTGTGTGAGGGTGTGTGGGGGAGGGGTGTGTCTGGGGGAGGGTGTGTGTGGGGGAGGGGTGTGTGTGGGGGAGGGGGGGTGTGTGAGGGTGTGTGGGGGTGTGTGTGAGGGTGTGTGGGGGGGTGGGTGGCGCCTCTATGTAGCGCAATCAGCCGCATCCCCACACACACACACACAGTCAGTAAATCCCTGTGAAGCGCTTTGAAGCGTCAGGGGCGACACGACGTGACATGACGAGGGCCCACCCCGCCCGCCGGCCGCCCGCTCCTCACCTTCCTCTTCCCGCCGCCGCTCCCCCCCCTGCCCTCGCCGCTGTCCCGGGCCGCCCCTCGGCTCCGCTGTCTCTTGATGAAGAAGCCGCCGTCGCCGCCCGCCATCTTCACCGCCCGTCCACATGGAAACCGCGCGACAGACCAGCGACCCACCAACCTACCCTGCTAGCGCTCTCCAGGCCCCGCCCCCTCCCCGGGCCGCACCAATCATCAACCACCCTCCGCCCCCACGCCCCGCCCCCTCCGCCTTCTGATTGGAGCCGACCGCACGCCCGGCAGCACGTTTGGTTGTGGCGGAAGTCGGTGCGGCGCTGCTCTGAGGTCCGACTCGGCCCCGCGGACCCCCGACACCCGGTTCCGGCCCTGAATCACCACCAACGTCCGGTGGGTTTAAACATCTCCTGTGGCTACTTCTGTTATCAAAGGTGTTTGAGGCTTCTTTAAAGTTTATTATTATTGCTGTTGTTGTGGTGCTGTTGTTGTTGTTGTTGTGCTGTTGTTGTTGCTGTTGTTGTGGTGCTGTTGTTGTTGTGCTGTTGTTGTTGCTGTTGTTGTGCTGTTGTTGTTGTTGTTGTGCTGTTGTGGTGCTGTTGTTGTTGTTGTTGTTGTTGTGGTGCTGTTGTTGTTGCTGTTGTTGTGCTGTTGTTGCTGTTGTTGTGGTGCTGTTGTTGTTGTTGTTGTTGTGCTGTTGTTGTTGTTGTTGTGGTGCTGTTGTTGTTGTTGTTGTTGTTGTTGTGGTGCTGTTGTTGTTGTGGTGCTGTTGTTGTTGTTGTGTGTTGTTGTTGTTGTTGTTGTTGTGGTGCTGTTGTTGTTGTTGTTGGGACTTAAACCCCAAACATCACAGCGTTGGAGATCAATACGGTGTACATGACTGCCCGGGGCAGTGACTGACTGACTGACTGACTGAGTGACTGATGGAGGGAGGGAGGGAAGCTTCCTTTCTTGCTGGTTGGATGGTTTTGTTGCTGAGGGAGGGAGTATATTCCCGTCAGAGCTGGTATTGCCCAGACTTGCTCAGTCGGTGCGAATTAACTCCAGTGGAGTTTGTTATCCTCCCAACTCCTGATCAGGGCGGTGCGATTGGCCGAGTCCCAACATTCACAGCAGTGAGTAGCGCAGTTTGATATGTTACAGCGTTCGGTCCTCGATGGATTTGTGCCGAAATGCGATCAGAAGATTATTAGAGAAACTGGGGCCTATTTCTGATTGTGGAGTCCTGGAGCTCAGTGGTTAGAGCACTCGCTTTGTAAGCGAGAGGACCCGGGTTCAATCCCCGGCAGGTCAGGGCCAAACCTTGGGCAAGTTTCCTTACTCCACACAGAGCCTAATAATAATCCTCCAAAACCAAAAACAATAATAAATTGGTCATTTTCAATCCACGACTGTCTGTGGGACATTGCTGTGCGCAATTGGCTGCCGCGTTCGCCCACAAATATACGGTCAATTCACTTTACGGTGTGTTCTGTGAAGCGCTTTGCGACGTCCTCCCGACGTGAAAAGCGCGATATCAAATGCAAGGATTATTATTATTATTATTATTTTAGTCTCGTGCAGATGTGTTTACTCCAGGGTTCGGTTAGCGGCCGTCCCCGAAGCTTTATGTGGTACGCACCACTCCGCGATCACAATAGCTCCTGTGTCTGTTTGTCTTGCGTAGTTTGAATTCTGCTGGAGTTAATGCTGACACAGCTATTCCAATAATTCTCTGCTGCAAAAATGAACCCAGTGCCCAGAAGAGCTAATTACTGCATTTTAAAATGAAATGAAAGACAGCGCTGAGTAGAAGGGAGGCTTTCAAGGGGCCCCCGTGTCTGTGAAAAAGTCTTTAGCAAACTTGTTTTTCCGGTACCCAAATTGGATGCCTTCTATTGTCTCATCGCCTGCCATATTGTCAACAGTCAGAGTGAAGATTGGCTATGATCTCATTGAATTGCGAAACAGGCTCGAGGGGCTGAATGGCCTCCTCCTATTCCTATCTCCCTGTAGGAATACTCACTTTGGCGAGGTCAACATTTCAAGGAAGGAGGAGGGTTTGACTTTTATACATGGTGTAAAACAAAATGTTAAATAACTTAGATAATTATTTTGGGAGGACGAGTTTGTAGGGCCTTGGGGAGAGAGCGAGGGAGTGGGGTTGATCAGGGCTATGGGGAGAGAGCGGGGGGAGTGGGGTTGATCAGGGCTATGGGGAGAGAGCGGGGAGTGGGGTTGATCAGGGCTATGGGGAGAGAGCGGGGGAGTGGGGTTGATCAGGGCTATGGGGAGAGAGCGGGGGAGTGGGGTTGATCAGGGTATGGGGAGAGAGCGGGGGAGTGGGGTTGATCAGGGCTATGGGGAGAGAGTGGGGGAGTGGGGTTGATCAGGGCTATGGGGAGAGAGTGGGGGAGTGGGGTTGATCAGGGCTATGGGAGAGAGCGGGGTGTGGGGTTGATCAGAGTATGGGGAGAGAGTGGGGGAGTGGGGTTGATCAGGGCTATGGGGAGAGAGTGGGGGAGTGGGGTTGATCAGGGCTATGGGGAGAGCGCGGGGGAGTGGGGTTGATTTGGAAGCTCTTTTCGAAGAGCAGCACAGACACGATGTGCTGTGTAATTCCATGATTCTATGAACTACTGACAAAGTCATTTCTCAAACGTTGTTAGATTTCAGGTCAAAAACACTGCTGCAGAGATGCCACCAAAGAGGAAATCGGCCAGCTCAGCCACCAAGGGGAAGAAAGTCAAAGTTGAGCCGGCTGAGGACAGCTTCAAAACAGCCGTCAAAGCTCTGAAAGCTGCCCCCAAAGAGGAGAGAAAAGCTAAGATAGACGCTCACTGCACATTGCTTTCAGAGCCCAACGCTGAGGTAGGTTCAATACAGTGCACGATGATCAAGAGCTCTCAGCCACTACGCCCCGAAACTCTGGAACACTCTCCCTCTATCCCTCGGCCTTGCCCCTTCCTTCCCCATATTTAGGTCGCCCCTGAAGACCTTCCTGTTCGACCTAACGTGCCTATGGTCACCTTCCCCCTCTCCCCCCTTGGCTCGGTGTCGTGCTCAGCCACTGTCAAGCGCTCTGGGACGCTGCCCTGCATGAGGGGGTGCTGCGTCTTTGAGCTTAGTCCCATTTGTATGGACAAACTGAGCATTGAATTGACATTGAGGGTACAGTCCCACTTGCTAGAGGTTTAGTCTAACAAATTGAAGACTTTTATCAATCGTCCTGAATGATTTACTTCTGTTTAAACAGCTCTATGCGGATTATGACTGTATGTTGAATCAAACCAACATTGGCAACAACAACAATAAATTCTACATCATCCAACTGATAGAATTCGATGGATCCTATTTTTGTTTTAACCGTTGGGGTCGTGTGGTGAGTATCAAGATAGTTTTATATCTGATGGTATTTTAATAAGAGTAGAGTGTCTAATGGAGAAAACCTTATAACTGCAAGCCTTTTCATGAGTGTGCAGTGCATTTGTGGAGTCTTGTAGCTCAGTGGATAGAGCACTCGCCTCACAAGCGAGAGGACCTGGATCCGATTTCTGGGCGGGGAGAAATCTTAGACAAGTTTCCTTACTCCACACACATGGCTCTGTAAGCTGGAACCAACCTGGTTGTTAGGCGATTGGCGGTTCTCTTTTCCGGGGGTAATAATCCCCCCCCCCAAAAAAAATTTAAAAAATAATAATTTGGTCGCTATGTCCAATGCAAGGATTATTATTATTCCTCCCTTTTCTGAGGCGGATGGATCTGCAGTACTTTAAGGCAGGGATTCCCAAATTGGGGGTTGCAGTTTTGGGCGGGGTGGGGTGGGGGGGGGGGGACGGAGCCACGAAGCCGGGAGATTTACCAGAAGTTCAAAGTTCCGTAGACCGACTAGAGAAAGCGGTATTTCAGGTTTAAGATGTAGTTGTGCAAAGGTATCAAAGCCATACTCATCCCATTGTGTTGCTCAGAGTATAAGAACATATTAATTTGCTGGCGAGAGAAGACCATCTAGTTTGCCTTCCACCATCCTGGTAGTCGCTTGACATGTCGTGTCCCAAACTCTATCCTGTATTCCCCAGATACTATTTTCTAGCAGAAATCAATCTCATTTCTTCTTGAAACAAATGACATTTTCTGCTCTTACCGTCTGTCTCCCTAGGGGAACCTGTTCCATATGTTTACTCCTCACTCACTGAAGTCGTGTCTCCACAGATTTGTTCTGAATTTACCTCCACTTCAATCGTAGGCCGTGTCACTGACTTACTTCCCGTCCTGGTTGTAGGGAGAAGTTGGCCAGTTTAAGCTGAACACTTTTTGCACCCTGGAAGATGCAATGAAGGACTTTGAAAAGAAATTCAAGGACAAGACGAAGAACGACTGGGCAAAAAGAGATTCCTTTGTAGCACACTCGGGAAAATACACCATGATTGACGTTCAACACGATGGGGAGGAACAAACTGTTGTAAAGGTAGGTCACACACATTGGATTGTGCCCAGTCTGCTCTTGAATTGGGGCTTTGTTAGTATTCATTTTCATACTTGGGAATAGCGATCCTGTTTTAGGGAAAATGGGTTCCAGTGATCCCCACCCCTCTCCCAAACATTTTCCCCAGCTTCTGTTCCAAATGCTTCTTCATCTCGGGTGATTTCAACTTTCAAAATCTACCTTAAGACTCATCCCTTGCTCGCTCGCTCACTTATTCAGCTCCCTATCGCCAGCTCGGGCTCCCACAGTTAGTTTTCTGAAGTGCTCCTCTTTGACCGCGCATTCGGTCACCTTCCTACCCTCACCCTCCCTGCCCTCCACCCCCGTCTGATCCCAACCCGCTGCTCGGGTCCAAATCCCTGACTGTCCAGGGCCTTGGGACGTCCTCCTGACATGAAAGGTGCCGTGTAAATGTCATTTATTGTCGTCGTTGTTGGACTTGGGATGGTCTCATAATGTGGGATGGTGGGGCATGATAATAATAATAATAATAATAATCCTTGCATTTGATATAGCGCTTTTCACGTCGGGAGGACGTCCCAAAGCGCTTCACAGAACACACTGCAAAGTGAATTGACTGTATATTTGTGGGCGAACGCGGCAGCCAATTGCGCACAGCAATGTCCCACATACAGTCGTAGATTGAAAATGACCAATTTATTATTGTTTTTGGTTTTGGAGGGATTATTATTAGGCTCTGTGTGGAGTAAGGAAACTTGCCCAAGGTTTCGCCCTGACCTGCCTGGGATTGAACTCGGGTCTCTCACTTGCAAAGCGAGTGCTCTAACCACTGAGCGACAGGATTAGCTAGACAAGGAGAGGACAAGAACTGGGAAGGGGGAGTTGATGATGATGATAATTAAAAAGCCACAAACCTGACGACGCACAATGTGTTTGATTGCAGACCGATATTGTGGATGGGATTGTGAAAAAACAGGTTAAACCTTGCACTTTAGACAGCGTCACTCAGTCTCTTATCACTTTGATCTTCAGCCACGATATGTTCAGGGAACAAATGCAAACAATGAACATCGGTAAGTTCTCGCCCCTTGTTATAAATGTTAACTTAAGAAGTAGAATAATGCTGTTTCGTTTTTTTTTTAAAAAGTGACAATAGGCTGGTAATTTATATCACTGTATTCAATCCATCTGTGAACGTATCCCCAAGATCGGAAGTTTATAAGCATCTGGGACACTACCCTGGAGTGAGGGGCCATATATAAATGCAAGTTGTTGCCGTTGTTATAAAGAGGAACCACAAATGTCTCTGTTTGTGTGGCTGGATATGTTAGCCGCGTGAGTTACTTGTTTGCTGTAAAGGTATTCAGTGTAGCCAACTATAACCATAACATGGATAATAATAATAATAATAATACTTGACACAGCGCCTCATCACGTCTTCGAGACGTCTCAAAGCGCTTCACAAGATACACTGAAAAGTGAATTGACTGGTATTTTGTGGGAGAAACTATTATTGACCATTTCTATTTGCTGTTGGTACCGACAGATGTGAAGAAGATGCCTCTGGGAAAGTTGAGCAAGCAGCAGATTGCCAAAGGCTTTGAAGTCCTGGAGGAGATCGAGAAGGCCCAGAAATCAGCTCAGAATAAAAATCAGCTGGAGAAGCTGTCTTCCAAGTTCTACACCAGCATCCCTCACAACTTTGGTCGTATGAGGCCACCGGTCATTGACACTCCAGAATTGGTCCAAGCCAAGAAAGACATGTTGCTGGTAATTGTCCTGGAGTGTAAGCGATGTAGTGAGGACCTGACTTCCCTCATAGAATCTTACAAAAGGAGGCCATTCGGCCCATCGTACCTGGGCTGGCTCTTTGATAGAGCCACCAACCTATCCCACTCCCCTGCTCCTACCCCAACTGCTCCCACTCCCCCACTCTTACCCCAACTGCTCCCACTCCCCCACTCCTACCCCAACTGCTCCCACTCCCCCACTCTTACCCCAACTGCTCCCACTCCCCCACTCTTACCCCAACTGCCCCCACTTTTACCCCAACTGCTCCCACTCCCCCACTCTTACCCCAACTGCTCCCACTCCCCCACTCCTACCCCAACTGCTCCCACTCCCCCACTCTTACCCCAACTGCTCCCACTCCCCCACTCTTACCCCAACTGCCCCCACTCCCCCACTCTTACCCCAACTGCTCCCACTCCCCCACTCTTACCCCAACTGCCCCCACTCTTACCCCAACTGCCCCCACTCCCCCACTCCTACCCCAACTGCTCCCACTCCCCCACTCTTACCCCAACTGCCCCCACTCCCCCACTCTTACCCCAACTGCTCCCACTCCCCCACTCTTACCCCAACTGCCCCCACTCCCCCACTCTTACCCCAACTAGCCCCACTCCCTTACCCCTTAGCCATCCAAATTCTTCCTTTTTAAGTACCCATCATCGAAGGACCAGCTTAACCTCTCACACACTCTACATCCACAGGTTCTTGCAGATATTGAGCTTGCTCAGAGTCTCCAGGCTGGGAAAGAAAAGAACGTGGTGACAGATATTGAAGAGGTGCCTCATCCCTTGGATGAAGATTATCAGCTGCTGAAGTGCAAGCTTTCTGTGCTTCTGCAGAACTCAGAAGAGTTCAAGGTCAGCACCACTGCACCTCAAATGTCCACTCGTCGACACCATCAATGGAGAGGAGGATGGGTGGAGGGGGTGGTGGGGGAAGGAGACAGAATTGTATCAGAAGGGGCAGTGGAAACACTGGAGAAGAGACAAAAGACAGGATCAAACTGGGTTGATTTCAAAACTGTCATTGGGAGGGGAGATTCAACACAGTTTCAATTAGACCAGAAGAGGAGATAATAATAATAATCCTTCCATCTGATACATAGCTCCTTATCACGTCTTCTAGACGTCTCAAAGCGCTGAACAGAATGTACTATGAAGTGTATGTTTTGCGAAACGTGGCAGCCAATTGCACACAAACAGTCGTGGATTGAGTGACCAGATTATTATATTAATATAGAGTAGACAGTGGATTGGCTTCAGCAGTTTCGTGAAGGGTAGAAGGATGTATATTGTTTTTTTTAAAAAACAAAGAAAAATCAGCATTTGAGATGGGGATGAAGTCAAGATTCAGGATAATTTATTGTAATAATATAATTCAGTCTATTCTGTGAAGCGCTTTGAGGAGTCTTGAAGAGGTGATGAGGTGCTATATCAAATGCAAGGATTAGTGTTAGGGTAATGGGTGTGAGAATCTGCTACAAGAACAAACACCTGAGTGCGCCTCCTGCTCTGGACAGAATCCTTTCATTTCCTCCAGTTATGTGTAGTAATATAATCTGATTTTTTCCCTCTCCCCCACAGATCATAAAAAAGTATGTGGATATGACTGGTCCAAAGTCTTTAAAAATCCTCCACATCTGGCAAGTGGACAGAGAAGGAGAGGTGAGTGATTGAGGTGCAGAGGGTTTCTGTAGCTCAGTGGTTAGAGCACTCACCTCACAAAGCGAGAGGACCAGGGTTCGATTCCCGGGCAGGTCAGAGCGAAACCTTAGGCAAGTTTTCTTTCTCCACACACACGCCTGTTTATCTAGCGGTAAGTAGGAACCTGGTTGTCTGTGCGGCAGTGACTGGGATTGCTTGATGGTGATACTTTACTTTATGCAAAAGTAAATAAGGCTCATTTTCACAGCATTGATATCCCTCAAGTTGATGAGAAAACATCAGCTTACATCAACTGTAAGTGCCTGGTACGTTGGCGTCACAAGTGGCAGCATCATCTGGATGCAAATGTAATCTGTTCATATTGTCATATCAACCTATCTGCTCCACGTCCCCGTCCAGCTCTTCCCGCCATCGGCGGTCGGGCCTTCAGCCTCTGCCCCCACCCTTTGGAAGTCCATCCCACAGTATCTCCGCCTCGCCCCCTCCCTCGCCTCCTTCAAGGCCCATCTCAAGACCTTTCTCTTCGACCATGCCATCAGTCACCCTCCTACCCCCCCCCACCCTCCCCGCCCTCCACCCTCTCCTGATCCCAACCCCCAGCTCGGGTCCGAATCCCTGACTGTCCAGCGCCTTGGGACGTCCTCCCGACATGAGGGGCTCTGTGTGAATGTCATGTGTTGCTGTTGTATCTCTAGGACGACCGTTTCGAGAACCACAGCAACATTGAAAACCGCCGACTACTGTGGCACGGAACCAATATTGCTGTTGTAGCCGCCATCCTGAAGACTGGTCTGCGGATCATGCCACACTCGGGGGGACGGGTGGGAAGTGGGATCTATTTTGCTTCCGAAAACAGCAAGTCTGCAGGATATGGTAGTAACACGTTCTCCCCGAGAGCAATCCCTTTCTCATTTATCGATCCCGCGCTTGCTTTCTCTTCAGAACGTTTCACTTTTTCTTATAAGACCTTCTGGCCTCCGTGACCGACATCAAGACAGATAGACAGCCCCAAAATACACAGTCAATTCACTTCACAGCCTATCCTGTGAAGCGCTTTGAGAAGTCTCGAAGACGTGATAAGGCGCTGTTATCACATGCAAGGATTATTATTATTATGATTTTGTCCGTGTTAGCTGCTGTTAGAAATACTTTCTATTTCAATCGTTTCCTCTGAACTGTTGTTTCTGTTCTTTCTCGTTTGCAGTCGGCTGCGCACGTAATTCGATCTGTATTATGTTCCTGAACGAAGTGGCTTTGGGCAAAGAGTACATCATTAATAAAGATGACTGCTCTCTGAAAGTTGCCCCCGAAGGCTTTGACTGTGTGGTTGCCCGAGGATATACTGAACCAGGTAAGAGTCATCTCTGGAGAGATGTGACTGGTTCTGTTTTGAAACATAATATGGATTCTGCCTTGACCGCACGGTGTCCCACAACTACCGACTCTCCGTGTTTAAAAAAAAAGACTCCTAGTCTCTCCTCTTTTACAACTACGGTAATTTCCTAATCCGTCCTTTGGATGCGACGTTAAACCTGGGTCCCTCTGCCTGCGACGCTACTCAAATAGAGGAGGGAGTTTCCCTCTCTCTCTCTCTCTCTCTCTCTCCTGGTGTCCTGGCCAACAAGCCCCCAAATAAAATCGGTCACTGACTCCATGACTGGCTGCGGTGTTTCACTCACAAAACACACAGTTAGTCCACTTTACCATCCTGCGAAGCGCTTTGAGACGTCTCAACGATGCGATAAGGCGGCATACGTTTCCGTCATTATTCCTCTCTATCCTGTCACCTGTCACCAACAGCCCTTTGTGTGAAGTTGGCAATGCAGCAGCACAGTTTGCTGTCTCAGTTGGCTGAGTTTTGTATAGATATATAGATATAAGCAGCTAATTTTTCCTTTTTTTATATCAAAAAAAAAAAAAAAATCTGTTTTAAGATCCTTCTCAGGACAAGGAGCTGGTCCTCGACGGGAAGAAGGTGATGGTGCCCCAAGGAAAGCCTAAAAAGATGAAAGAGTACAACAACAGCCGCTTCAGCCAGAGCGAATATGTCATCTACAAGGAGAGTCAGGCTCGCATTCGGTATATGCTCCAGATGAAGTTTTGAGAGAAAGTGGCTCAACACTCGCACAGTCACAATCCCACACCCCCTTCCCCAACAGTATAAAAAGTAATGAAGCACTTACGAGAAGAATCAAAGACATACTTATTGGCTGCTATAGCTCATCTGCTGACACTTTTAGTTGGTGATTCTGTATTGTACAGTAATTAGGGTTTATTCATTTGAATAATCCCTTTACAATAATAGTAATAATCCCTTCCAAAAAAATTAATAAATGAAACGATAATAATTTGGTCATTTCAATCCACGACTGTTTGTGGGGACGCTGCTGTGCGCAATTGGCTGCTGTGTTTCGTCCACAAAATATACTTCACAGTGTATCCTGTGAAGCGCTTTGAGACGTCTCGAAGACGTGATGAGGCGCTGTGTCAAATGCCAGGATTGTTATTAATATTACAATACAGAATCATTTCTACAGCTGCATTGTGACTTGGAAAAAGGAACGGGAATTTAATTCAGGCGACTCCATTCCTGACGCTATTTCTGTACTATTACTCAGCCTGCGTCCAGTCAGGAATAGCAACAGCAATATGTTTTTTTGCAAAATGGACACTAGCCTTTGATCCACAAGCCATAGTGATGGGAGGAAGTTCTCCGTCGACAGATATAGTTTGCCCGATGGGTGCCCCAATAGCCTGTTGATTTTGTCACTTTGGGTTGACCTGCTATGGTGATAGTGTAAACCCAACACAAATCTCTCAGAACTGACATGACAAACTTCTCTCCACCACCCCTTCCTACCCTCACCTCCCACCCACTCACTCACTCACCCACTCACCCGGCAGCTAGAGTGAATGAAGCTAAGCAATCTGACAGGCATCTGTGGACTGGGTAGGTTTCACGAAATGAATGTTACTGAATCGCGATGTTTATGTATTTCGGGTCTGTTTGTGGACTGACTGCACTAAAGTGGATCTGAGCCTGCGGGCGGGAATTACTAGCATTGCAGTAGGAAATGGTTGGAACTTTAAGCTGCCTTTGTTATCCGGGATCTAATGTTTGTGAAGGGACTCCACTGTTCTGTGTTGGGCATCAATTGGGTTGATTTTTGCGTCAGTATTTCAGGGCACTTTGTATTTCCCCGACGTGTCACTGGCGCAGGCTGGAACTTGGCCTTTCAGTTCTGCTGGGCCATGAGAGAGAACGGATACCCTGATGGTATTTAACACTACTTTACATCAACTGATTTTTCCTATCCCCGTAGGATTAGCATTACCAACGTCGTCACCAAAAATGCAGTCTAATTTGTTTCCTGTCTGAAGCCATTATAATTCTTTGTGTTTACGTCTAAATGCTATCGTCAGAGGTGTGTTTATCCCGATTATAAACAAAAAGCTGTTCTATTACTCATCAATTTGACTTCTGCGTCTTCAGTCGAGAAAGTGTTCTTTTTTTTGAGACGTAACCAGCACATTGTCTGCTTAACTTACACCTTGGCACCAGAATCGGTGTATTGGTGGTGTATTGGTCAATAGGTTTCCTGATGTGCCATTTCTGTCCATTGTATAGGTTTGACATTCAAGTTCCACATGGGGTGATCCCCCACCACCCACCAAGGTGGTCCTGAATCTGCACTCAAAAGTATTTCTTAGGATATATTAATTATTAATGATAATAAACCTCGCATTTGACACAGGGCCTTATCACGTCTTCGAGACATCCTCAAAGGGCTTCACAGGATACGCTGTAAAGTGAATTGACTGTATGTTTGTGTGGGCGAAATGATGTGACATCATGACAAAGAAAACACTATTCCCAACCTCCATTTCCATCACTCAGTCACTGGAATGGAATTTTATTGTGTGACTCTGTCAGTCTCGTCTCTATAAGCACAAAATCTAATAATGCAGAGAGAGTGAGAGATTACCTCGCTGCTTTAAGCAACTCTACTCCTACTTCTACACTGGTATTGTTAGTGAGTGCCTAGAGAGGACGTGCGTGAGAGCTTCCTTTACATATCCCAACTCCTCACACACCCTCCACTGCAATTAGGGGAGGAGAGCAGCTGTGATTTTCTTCGAAAAGACTTGAAAGACATCAACACACCCCTGGATTGCCGTGTCAGGCAATAACAATGGCCGTGCTCATGTCTTAACACAGCAGCTTAGACTGGGGGAGCAGTGCAGAGAACAGGTCCCTTTGGCAATCAATATGGGCTCAAGTGGAACACAGCTGATTGTGATTTGTGATCTCATCTCCTGGGCTACGCACCACCACCATCTCAACCGAAACGGCACAGGGAAGTCTCATCACATCGTGGGTTAAGGTGAGGCAAAAGGAAGTCAATTTTCCACATTTAAAAGTGAGATTTTGGGGATGAATCTGTGTTTTATCAGTGACGGTCGACTCTCGAGGCTGGTAAGAGTAAGTCGTGTTTCTCATAGAGACGCCTTTGGCTACTTCCAGGTTAAATAGTGGATTCCAGCAGCTCAATGGTTAGAGCTCTCGCCTCACAAGAGAAAGGACCTGGATTCGATTTCCAGGGCGGGGGGAAACATTGGACAAGTTTCCTTACTCCACCCACACCCCAGTTGACCTGACAGTAAGTAGATTGTTAGTCAATTAGTGGATTGCTTTTCCAGGGGGTAATAATCCTTCAAAAAAAATAATCATTTGGTTACTCAGTCGACGACTGACGCTGCTGTTGGCTGCCCAATTGGCTGCCGTGTTTTGCCCACAAAATACAGTCAATTAATTCCCTTTACAGTGTGCCCTGTGAAGCCCTTTGAGGCGTCTCGAAGACGTGATAAGGCGCTGTATCAAATGCAGGGATTATTATTAACAAAGAACATGGTCACAAACATTAAAGTCAATCACATCGATAGAATGCCATCTGGTATTTTTTTTATTTTTTATACACGTAAAAAAAATTGAAGCGTTTTATTACTGACTCGTATTGATATTTCGGCGCTGATTTAGCTCCCCATGTCACTGCTATTTCCCCCAAAACCCTTTGAGTATCTTTATGCACAATCATGTCGTCAACAACTACAAAATCGAGCAAAGGTTTAAATCGTATTCTTCCAACAAAACGAAGAAAGATCACGTAAAGTCTGAAAATCTTGCCACCCGCCCTCATCTCCCTCGTGCAGTGTTTCATGATTTAACGTTAAGACGATTGCACGGACTCGGGACGTAATCCGCGCAATGTTTCCAGAGAGAGAGGCAGCTTGTATTTGCTCTGGCGATGTCTCAAACCCAGCGCCGTGCTCCCGTGTCGGTGTTGAAGAGGTAATCTCTGCCAGTCCCTGCAAGTATATAGCCTGATTAGATGATCTGCAGACTGAAGCTTTCAAAGGAACATTTCTATCACTCTGAGCTGAACAGAATAGAGCTAGAAAAGACCATATTCTAATCTTGGTACCAGGCTGTTTCCACCAGGTGACGTAGACGAAAGTGATGAAAATAGATTAAATCAAACCAGACCCCCGATAGGAAACTATAGCGTCCTTCAGAAGGTTGCGTTTGTTCCTAAATGTTTATCCAGGGAATACAAGAACAATCATGAAGAAATGTACCTGGATCCACTGCTCTGCCATCAAATTGTTGCTGGAAAAGGAAGAATAAAAGATTATTCACACCATTTCACTCACTCGCAAACAAGTGCCAATACAAAGGACGCAGTATATCCTGTGAAGTGCTTTGAGACGTCTCGAAGACGTGGTCAGGTGCTATATCAAATGCAAGGATTATTATTATACAGATATTACCAGGCTGGGGGTACTTTGTGGTGGTATGTCCTCCTTGCCCTTGGAGCTCACATTTTTACTTTCATTTTCCAGTGATTCAGTGTCGGTCAGTGACCTGTGTTGACAAAGAACAATAAGCTGGGACACGGCAAATGGATGGCAGCCAGAGTAGACAACAGATCCCAGTGAATGCTACCCAATGTGGGGGGTGCGAAATTGGATTGGAATCCTACCTACCTGTCCTGCACCAGAGGCTGCGACATCTCTTGTGGAGGAACAAGCCGGTTGTAACATGGGGCCCTGCAAAGATGAACAGGTCAGTAACTCACCAGTGTAGTCAATGAGGGCACAAGACGTGTCGAGTTTTTTAAAAAAAATATATACAATAAAAGCTCTTCATTATGCCGTCTGTCTCCCTCAGTTATGTGTACACAAAGCTTAGAACCTTTATGTACACGTCAACCAGCTCACTACCCTCCTCACAATATCTGGAACAGATCTATCAAAAAAACAACAGAAAGGATCTAAGTACATTATAATCCCTTTTAAATGTTTTTAAAAATGAAATTGGTCACTCAATCCACGACTGTTTGTGGGGACGCTGCTGTGTGCAATTGGCTGCCGCGTTTCGCCCACAAAATATACAGTCAATTCACTTTACAGTATGTTCTGTGAAGCACTTTGAGATGCCTCAAAGCTGTGATAAGGCGCTATGTCAAATGCAAGGATTATTATTATTATTATTATCCTCTTTTCCTCTCTGAAAAAAGACCTAGAAACTCCCTCGTTGTAACATGGTCTCACCTTTGTGTGTAAAAAAAAGAAAGATGGTTTACCTTGAGATGACTTTCCACAGGAGCAAAGCCAGTGTTATTATAGCCAAGACCGCTACAGCTGTCAGAACTGTCACAAACCAAATGGGTGGCTTCCAGTACGTGTTCAGCACAGTCACCACTTTGACGTCTCTTCTTTGTGTCTGTGAAACGTATCACAATCTCAGCATGAATGGGAGACGTTGTTCATATTCTCTTTCCCTTCCCGCTTACAATAAGCTTTCTGTTTTACTACGCCTCCATTCTCTGACAGCAATAATAGTAATAATCCTTGCAGTTGATACAGTGCCTTATCACGTCTTTGAGATGTCTCAAAGCGCTTCACAGAATAGACTGTAAAGTGAATTGATGAAACGCGGCGGTCGATTGCGCACAGTAGTGTCCCACAAACAGTCATGGATTGAGTGACCAAATTATATTATTACTATTTATGTATTTTATTTTTCTGAAATTATTATTACCCCCGGAAAAGTGATCCGCCAATCGACTAACAACCGGCTTCCTGCTTACTGTTAGGTAAACAGAGGTGTGTGTGAGTGTGGAGGAAGGAAACTTGCCCAACGTTTCGCCCTGACCCGGGAATCAAACCCAGGTCCTCTCGCTGGCGAGGCGAGTGCTCTATTTCACATGGATCACTGCCCTCCACCCTACTCCAGCCCCCCACCCTCCCATGTGTATCCTAGATATACATCGGTGCGATCTTCATTGCTCATGGATTCCAGCACAGACACCAACCGTTAGCTGTGTGGTCGTGGTCGGAAAGGTGGTTGTCCAAGGTACAACGTGGATGATGACTGTTGCCGTGGTCGTCAGATGAATGCTCTGTTTTCCGTCTTCACTGTCAGTGACTTGTATCAGTAATTCAAAGGTTGTTTGGTCGTTCACCCCCTCACTGTGATAGGAGAGGTGTTCCTCGAGTACACCTGATTCCTGATACTGACAAAGCGATCGTTTGTGTTCCCTAATGGGAAACAAGGTTGACATCAGTGTTACTGTAAGCCACGTTGACAGACACATTTCTGCTTGGTTCAGGTCTTTGTGCTGCAGATTGGTGTAAAATATAATAATATTCATATTAATAATCCTTGCATTTGATACAATGCCTCATCGCATCTTCGGGATGTCTCAAAGCGCTTCACAGAATGAATTATAGGGGGGAATTGACTGTATATTTTGACTATCAAGCGCTTTGGGTATCCTAACGACATGAAAAATGCTGTGTAAATGTCATATGTCGCTGTTGTGTGTGATCTCTCTTGTCAGAGGGAGGGTTTCTATTCTAGTAATGTAAATGTAGCTTTAATGTAAATAAACAGGTATTTACCTCCCACTATACTGTAGTGGAGGGAAGCAGAATCTTTATCAGTGCAGGAGATGGTAACAATGGGGACACTCCCGGTCAAGGTAGAGTAAATGGTCTGTTCGTAGATTGATGGGTTACACACCGGAGGGATATCATTCACGTTCTGCAAACACATAAAACACAAATAACAGGATCTCAAAACCTTTCAGCTTTTCAGAACTAATCCTCCATTGTTTAATTGAATAAATCAGCCCATACTATGAAGTGGGTAGTAACTAGTACTACTGCTAATAATACTCCTTGCCTTTGATACAGCGCCTCATCACATCTTCAAGATGTCTCAAAACGCTTGACAGGATACACTGTAAAGTGAACTGACTGTAATATTTTGTGGGGGAAACACGGCAGCCAATTGCGGACAGCAACGTCCCCACAAACAGCCGTGGATTTAATTCTGCCACATTAACCATTGTACAACAACAACAACTTGTGTTTACACAGCGCCCCTCACACGGGGCAGCGTCCCAGAGCGCTTCGGGGGGAGGGGGCAGGTGATGCCGTTTGAGGATATCACGAATACTCCCTCCTCACTACATCCTCAACATTGGCTTTGCTCCAGGAAGCCGCACCTGCATGTTAATGGTATACTCGGCCCAGGCGGTTTTCTGTTGTTTTGGATCGGGCAGCACATCATTATTTATATCCACAGCTTGGATGGTTAGTTTGTAGGTAATGAGGGATTCAAAGTCGAGTGGGATCAAAGTGCTAATTTTACCTGAGAAAATAACAATAGAAAAGATATCCGAAATCAGTTTCCGTCTGCACACATATATATATATAAGAACATGGGAACAGGAGGAGGCCATTCAGCCCCTCGAGCCTGTTCCGCCATTCTGTAAGATCATGGTTGATCTGTACCTCAAATCCAATTACCTGCCCTCGCCCCGGATCCCCCGATACCCTGACCTGACAAACATCTCTCCACCTCAGTCTTGAAACTGTGAATGGATCCAGCCATAATCCTCAGCTTTTTGGGGAGGGAGAGAGTTCTACACTCCCACGACCCTTTGGGTGAAAAACTGCCCCTGATTTCACTCCTAAATGGCCTGGCTCTAATTTTAAGATGATGCCCCCCTTGTCCTGGATTCCCCCCCCACGCACTTACAATTACCAATTCACTACGATCTTCTTTACCCCATTTCCCCCCCTCTAGAGAACACTAACCAGTGAATGGGTCAATGTAGAATGTTAACGGTGTGTTTCCTGAAATAATGGAGAATCTCAAATTGTTGAACATCCAGTCTGCATCCGTCGCAGACACTAAGCCAACAAAGGTGTTTTGCTGACGATTCTCCTGTACAGTGAAGGTTTGGGTGCCTTGAAACACTGGGGAATGCTCATTCACTGGAGAGACTGTCACAAGTATAGAGACAGTGGCTGAAAAACAGGTTGCAAAACCAATGTAATATGCCGCGTAATAATAATAATTTGGTCACTCAATACGCGACTGTTTGTGGGACACAGCTGTGTGTGCAATTGGCTGCCGTGTTTTGCCCACAAAACATACTGTCACTACACTTTACACTGTATCCTGTGAAGCACTTTGAGATGTCTCGTAGACGTGATAAGATGTTATATCAAATGCAAGGATTATTATCATTATTATTATTAAATAAAAATGTGATTTAAAAACTCTAAAGCCTCGTTTGAATGAACGATGCTGTGGGCAATCCTTTTAAGGTGGAACTAGTCAGTCAGTAAGTGTGCAGCTATCTCTGTGTGTGTGTGTGAGTCTGTGATACTCACTGGAACGAGGTGGATTTCCGCTGTCGGTGACGATGACTGCGGCCGTGTACCGGAAACTCACTTTCACCATCTCGACAACATCATAGTCCAGGCTGGTGTTCACCTACACAGCCACAACATTCCTCAGCCAGTGTCAGTGCCAGACCTTATTCTAATAATAATAATCTTTGCATTTGATACAGCGCCTTATCAGGTCTTTGAGATGTCTCAAAGCGCTTCACAGGATACACTGTAAAGTGAATCGACTGTGTATTTTGTGGGTGAAACCCGGCAGCCGATTCCGCAAAGCAGCGTCCCCACAAACAGCCGTGGGTTGAGTGATCAAATTATTATTTATTTATCTTTTAAAGGGATCATTACCCCCGGAAAAGCGATCCACCCATCGACTAACAACCGGGTTCCTACTTACTGCTGGTAAACAGAGGCGCGCGCGCGTGTGTGTGTGTATGTTTGTGTGGAGTGAGGAAACTTGCTCAACGTTTCGCCCTGACCTGCCCGGGAATCGAACCCAGATCCTCTCGCTTGCGAGGCGAGTGCTCTAACCACTGGGCTACAGGACTCACCTTAGCCATGATCAGGTGGGGTTGGGCACCTTACCTGCACACTGTAGTCTTGATATTTAAATTTGAATTGTGAGACAGCATCTGACACAACAGTATATGACAGGGTCGTGCGGCTGAAATCCGGGTCAATGCAAGTCAGTGGGAAGAGAATTGTTCCAACTGCAGTGGTTTCTGGGATCGTGGTCCTGGAGGGAAACAGACATTTCATGTGTTTCACCTACAAATCCACAGTCACTACACTTTACACGTTACAGAAAAACTCTGTGAAATGCTTTTAAAAATAATAATTTGGTCACTCAATCCACGACTGTTTGCGGGACAACTGCTGTGTTTCGCCCACAAAATACACAGTCAATTCACTTAACAGTGTATCCTGTGAAGCGCTTTGAGACGTCTCAAAGACGTGATAAGGCGCTATCTCAAATGCAAGGATTATCATATTATTATTATACATTATATATATATATAACTACAAATACTGTGTAAATGAGACTTACACAAAGATGGCGGGAGTACACTCTGGTGCATTGTCATTTACGTCCTGCACATATACAGAGATTGTAGCTGATGAACTGTAGAGGAAGCTCTCGTTGTAAGCAACAATGACTAAAGGATAGTCAGCAAGGCCTGGGGACTTGTCCAGGTCAAGATTGCTGGTGGTTGTGATGTCCCCTTTGGCTGAGTTAACAGAGAATCACAGAGAAGGTTACATACAAGGCAGCCGGAGTTCAGGATTAGGCTCGCACTTGAAGTACGGACACTCTGGAACACTGTCCCTCTATCCCTCCGCTTCGCCCCTTCTTTCCCCATCCTCAGGTCACGCCCAAAGACCCTGCCTTCCGATGTGATGGGTGCTACATCATACACTTATGATTCATAAAAATTATTTATTTTCTGCCACTGGGTGGCAAAGTTGTGCTGTAGGAAACCCTTTTGGAATTGAATTTCTCAACCTGCAGTGTTGGGTGGACACTAGGAGTAGTTGCATTCGATGCAGCGCCTTATCACGTCTTCGAGACGTCACAATGCGCTTCACAGAATATACTGTAGAGTGGGTTGACTGTATATTTTGTGGGTGAAAGGCGACAGCCAATTGCGCACAGCAGTTTCAGCCTGAGCCAAGGAGAAAGGTCCATTGCATGTGGTGATGCCATCTCCATATCTGAATTGTTCTAAGTAAGATCATTTAAAATCGTTAATTTTACCTGCATTTTTTAAGGGACTTCTTCCTTGATTCCCTGACCTCACAAATATCTACCATTTCAGTCTTGAAAAATGTAATGGATTCAGCCATAACCCACAGGCTTTCGGGGGAGAGATAGAGTTCCAGACTTCCACTACCCCTTTGGGTGAAAAACTGCCTCCTGATTTCACTCCTAAATGGCTTGGCCGTAATTTTAGGATGATGCCCCCCTTATTCTGGATTCGCCCAGTGCTGCTAATTCATTCCCCCCCCCCCCACTCACCCCACCAGTGTTTCTGGGTTCAGGGTCAACATTTGTCAGCTGCTTACTTTTATCAATTTGGAAGAAAGGATTCGGGTTCTTCAGTAAGTAGTGTGGTCTGCTGCCAGTCACCTCAATCCTGGCCACAACATATCCTGGTCCCTGCTTTTCTGGAATAGAGACTGCGTTTGGAATATTCCTGCAGGGAAGAAGTCCTCGTTAATGGTGTAACATTTAAGAGATTGTTCTTTAATTGAGAAGGCATCTTCATATAACCAAGGAGGGAGGGAGGCAGGAAGGAAGAATTAAGTTAATTTGCAGTCACAAGATCACAAGTGGAAGTGTAGTCCTGTAGCTCAGTGGTTAGAGCACTCGCCTCGCAAGCGAGAGGACCTGAGTTCGGTCCCCGGGCAGGGCGAAACGTTGGGCAAGTTTCCTTACTCCACACACTACTCTGTTCACCTGGCAGTAAGTAGGAACCCGGTTGTTAGACGATTGGCGGATCGCTTTTCCGGGGGTATCCGGGCCTTTTTAGGTGGATATGAAAGATCCTGTGGCGCTGCTCAAAAAGAGAAGGGAATTTCTCATGGTTCCTGGTCAACAATCTCTCCCCCCGAAAAAAATTGATCATTAACTTTGTGGCCCTTTGTGGGGAACGCCACTGTATGCAAAATGGGCTGTCACATTCACCTATAAAATACACAATCACGATACTTTACAGTGTAAAGTGCTTTGAGATGTCTTCCCGACGCAAAAGGCACTATATCAAATTATTATTATTTATTTCGAGCGCACGCCCTCTTTTGTAATGTGTGTGATTAATGGCAATTCCAGTAATTGTGCGCTGACACTTTCCGTTGACGTTTGGCTCCCCTTTGAGTCGAGTGACTCATGGACAGGAACTGATTGAAAAAATAAAATTCACACAAATATACATAGTACAGCATCGACCTGCGATACACCACTTGTAACTGGCATTATTCTGTAATACCAGAACAAAGGATAATAGTGTAGTCCTGTAGCTCAGCGGTTAGAGCTCTCGACTCGCAAGCGAGAGGACCTGGGTTCGATTCCCGGTCAGGAAGAAACAATGGGCAAGTTTTCTTACTCCACACACACGCGCGCCTCTGTTTACCAGCAGTAAGTAGGAACCCGGTTGTTAGTTGATCAGCGGATCGCTTTTCCAGGTATAACATTCCCTTAAAAAATAATAATAATTTGGTCACTTCAATCCACCACTGTTTGTGGGGACGCTGCTGTGCGCAATTGCTGCGTTTCGCCCACAAAATATACAGTCAATTCACTTTACAGTATATTCTGTGAAGCGCTTTGAGCTGTGATTAGGCGCTGTATCAAATGCAAGAATTATTAATAGTAATTGTGAGCACCACAACGCCATTCGGTGCCTGACCCCGACTCCTGTTTTCTTTAGGAGTTGCTCGCAGGTTCCTGCACTTGGCCATAAATTATATTCACCCAATTCTTCTCTGCGTAATCGGCGCATGATATCGAAATGAGTTGGCAGCACATTTAATCCCAGATCGTCATTAATCAGCACTATCTCTGACATTGTTACAATGGAGAGAACAGCCCCACAAAGAAAGAAAAGGAGACAGAGTGTGAAGCTCGGCTTAGCAACCAAATGCCAACCAGCCTTGTACACTGTTACTTTAACACTATTACTTGGGACGTCCTCCTGACGTGAAAGGCGCTCTACAAATGTAATTCGGGCGGCAAACTAATTGTATAGCAGTGCCCCATAGTACCAATCCCTTCAAATAAATAAATAATAATTTGGTCACTCAATCCACCGACTGTTTGTGGGATACCGCCGTCCGCAATTGGCTGCCGCGTTTCGCCCACAACGTACACGGTCAATTCACTGCTGTGTATATTGTGTGAAGCGCTTTGAGACGCCTCGAAGACGTGTATTTTAGAGGACGTTCTGACTGTGTCACCGTCGTCTTTAAAAAAAAG